CTATAGGGAAGTACCTGATTTAGCTGAAAAAAAACTAGCCCTTCACAGAAATGTTTTTTATTATTTCTTCTTTCTTCTTAAATTATAAGCCTCAAGAAATATAGATATCTTGACCTAATGGGAACCCTTTCTTTAGCTTGACTTTACCATGTTGTCTTTCAAGAATGACCTGGCCACTACACATTTGCATACTAAGTGCTGTCTAGTTGCTTAAGAGGTATTTCTATGGTTGGTTGTTGATGCCCACAGTCACATAATTCTGTGATGGATAAATTGTGTTTAATTTAGATTTATACTGTAACTCTTTCCCTCCTTCCTAATTGGGTCTGGAGTTATTTTGTTGTTCTCTACTGTGTTTATAGCAAGAATTTCCATATTAAATGCATTACTATCCAGGGTATTTAACAAATAAGTAGGGAATACTGGTACTATTAGAGAATATAGTTCTCAGGAAGTTCATTGAGAGCTGGCTCATCTTGGAGACCAGGGAATTTAAAAATTTTAGAATCACAGAAACTTTGTGATTGATGTCTTCTTATAGGCTCCTCCACCCAAACTCAGAATCCCCTCTGAACACATCCAGTGCTCCCTCATACTCAGTGAATAGGCACCCTTTCTGGTCAGTTGGCCATGTTAGCCTTGTTGCTGCTTTTGTATGGGACACATGTGCTGATACCCCTAATACCAATCTAATGCCACAGGGTGTTACAGAAAAGTTAATTCTAACCACGAACCCTGTACATTCCTTTTTGGGAACTTGCTTCTTTTGTATGGAAGAGAAAAAAAAATAAAAACCATTTTTGTGCTAGAAGATATTAGAGGTTTTTCCTAATGTAAAAAGCTGAAATCTGTCTGCTGTTGATATCCTCCTAGGGGCTCTGGTTTTGTCACATAAGATCAAAATGAAAATAGCTACTGGGATTCCAATGCTTCAGTGTATTGTAAAATTTCCATCTCCCCCATCCCGAGAACCACTTCTAGTCTCTTCCAAGAGTATCACTGATTTTTCACATTGAGTCAGAAGTAGGAAGTAGACTGTAGGCTTGAAAGGTCTCTGCTCTAGGTAGACTTCTTGCAGCTGCATCTGTAACCTTAACTGAAATCATCGTATCTCACCAGGCACCATTTCAATTTCTTTGAGGCATGGCTGGCTTCCTTGAACTGGTGAATCCCTTTTCCTTTTCTTTCCCTCTGCCAGGGGTTAAAGTGTTCAGTTTGTTCTCTTGTTACATCCATCCAATTCCCTCATGATGTGGGCTTTCTTTCTCCTTTCTCATCCCAATACTTCTTCATGGACCATTAGATGCTCTTCTTTTTCCTGAAATTCAAAGCGCCCTGGCTCATAGTGGTGCTGAAACATATTATTGAGTATGCTCAGATTTCATGCTCATATAGACTTTCAGTGGCGTATGGTTTTCTTAAAATGCCCCATTTTCTGATACGTGTTGTCAATTTTATGGGTTAGGATGTGTCTTGCATAGAGTACCTGGTGATTATCTATGGAATTGAATTAGAAATCATACTCTTCTTCCTTGATGTTCTTCCCAGGTTGCCGTATTGGCAACAGTGTTCCATGTGGAATTAATTTCTAGTATTTCTAAATGTAATTGCATATGAATGTTTTAAAACTTTCAGTTATATTTTATAATAGTGGCCCCACTCCTTAGGAGAAACTATAGGTTTATGGTAATTGTATTTAAATTCTTTGAAACAGTTTATTCTACATTGAATTGTGGAACACCTGCCTTTTAAGTATTTCTGGGAAATAGTCTATGGAATGAATGTGGTGTGACATTATAAACTAGGTGCTAAACAATTAAGTGTTAAAAGAGCTAGTGAAGAAAATGGCAGCTCCTCATTTATTGGAAAAGACATAAAAATCCCCACACATTGGGAAAGGCATTATGTAGTCTTATTCTAATCATCTTTCTCTGTTCTACTACATGGACCACAATGCAAATGAAAGTCTGAATCCATTTATGAAAGAATTTAACATGTAAATGATAGGTATGATCTATTTAGATATGGGCTTTTTTGTTGTAATTAATACCCTCTTAGAATTTATAGTTGAGAAGAACTTAAATCACACAATATGGAAAAAATAAACTCTTTAAATTTGAGATTAAAATTACCATATGACAATACAATAAAGAGACTAATTTTAACTATCTGGCCATAAATTACAAAAGTAATCACAAAATTTTAGGTATGGAAGAGGCCTTTAGAAATTATTTCACCAAAGACCCTTGTTTTGCAGATGAGGAAACGGACTCAGAGGAGTTAGATGACTGTACTAGGTTGACTAGTGTCCTCCAAAATTAATGCACTTCTGGAACCCCAGAAAGTGAACTTATCTGGAAATCTGGAAATAAGATTTTTGCAGAGAATAAGTCATGCTGCGTTTGAATGGGTCTTAAATCTAATACCTGCTGTCTTTATGAGAGGAAAGAGGGAACCAAACACACACAGGAGGGAAGGCCATGTGACAAGAGGCAGAGGTTGGAGCAGTGATATAGCTATAAGACAAAGAATGCAAAAGAATCCTGGCAACCACCAGAAGCTAAGGTGGCAAGGAAGGACTTTCTACAAGGGCTTCAGTGGGGCACCACCCTCCCAACTCTGATTTCAGGCTTCTTACCTCCAGAACAGAGGGAACAAATTTCTGTTGTTTTGAGCCACCCAATTTGTGGCAATTTGTTATGGCAACCTAAGCAACTAGTATAGTACCCTTCCAAGGAGAGGTGGTCTCTGTAACAAAGGCTCAGTGAATAGAAGCCCAGTCTATTCTGAGCAGCTGTGCTCAGTTTTCCTGTCTGCTTTGTGTGTGTGTCAGAGGGGCTTGGAGGTGCTTGCTCAGGAACTTTATTTCTTACTTGGCTAAATTACAGTTTACTGCCTTTAAGGCTTTGCTTCCCATCTCACTTTTTATCTAGATTGTTCTTATACAACTCTTGAACAAGTTATTTGTCTCCTGCAGTCTCAGAAATTTGGCTCTATAGAAGTGTGGCCATTTAACTTTTCTAGGTTGCTTTTACCTCTCTGGACATAAGGCCTAATTATCGTACTTCCTCTCTTTAAAATACTGTACAAAGTACATGTATGAAGACACGAATTGGGTGTCAACCTACTTTATATACAAACAGAGATATGAAAAATTGTGGTATATATATGTAATAAGAATTATAATGCAAAACCCCACAAAGAACATGTATAAAGACATGAATTGGTATGAACATACTTTATATACAAAGATATGAAAAATTGTGCTGTATATGTGTAAAAAGAATTGTGATGCATTCCGCTGTCATGTACTTAAAAAAATAAAATCAATTAAAAAAGTACTGTACAAGAACAGTACAGGTAGAAAATGACAATACGCTTTTTAGGCTACCTCATCTACTGTAATACCAAGGTTCTTGGCCATTTCAATGATTGACTTAATTGTTAGCATAATTCGTTCCTTCAATAGTATATACAGAAAAAAAATGTGAAATTTTAACTTTATTTGTAATGTTTTTTGATGCACAAAAGTTTTGAATTTTGATGAAATTTAGATTTTTTTTCCTTTGTGGCTTATGTCATAGCTAAGGACTTTTGTTAAACTCAAGGTCATGAAGATTTACCCCATGTTTTCTTTTAAGAATTTAATGGTTTTAGCTCTAGATATTTAGGCCATTGATTTATTTTGAATTTTTAAAAATATGGAATGAGTGTGTGTGTGGGGGGGGTCTAAATGCATTTTTAAAAAATATTTGAATATCCAATTGTCTCAGCACCATTCATTAAAGATACTCTTCTTTCCCCATTGAATTGTATTGGGCTTCTTGTTGAAAATCAGTTGTTCAAAGATGCTAAGTAGGGGCTGGGTTGTGGCTCAGCTGTAGAGCGCTCGCCTAGCATGTGCGAGGCCCTGGGTTTGATCCTCAGCACCACATAAAATATAAATAAAATTAAAGGTATTGTGTTCAACTACAACTAAAAAAATAAAAATAAAAAAAGATGCTAAGTATTTCTGGACTCTCAAGTCTTATTACATTGGTCTACATATTAATCCTGTACTTTGACGTTTTGATTATTATAGCTTTATATTAGCCCTCTTTGTTCTATTTTGAAGTTATTTTGGCTATTTTGAACCCCTTGTGATTCTATATGAATTTGAGGATTGGCTTTTCCATTTATGCAAAAGGAGTCTGAAAAAATTAATAGGGTTGCGTTGAATCTATAGATCACTTTGGGTTGAACTGTGTTTTTATTGTTATTTGTTCTTTGAATATTTGATATAATACTATTATAAAACACTCTGAGCTTGAGTTTGGTGTTTACTCAGGGGCAGACTGATTCAGTTCCTTATTGTTATTATGTCTTCCAATTCACAAAATGGAATATTCAGTGTTTTGTATGATTCTTTCACCCCCTTAAATTTATTCCTATGTATTTTATTCAAAAGTGAGTTTATTAATATAAAATATTTCAGGCATGCAAAGAAATGTAAAAAATGAGTACTTGTGTACTCACCACCCACTTTAATAAATAAGCCAGGTGTAGTGGTTCTTGCCTGTGATCCCCAAAACTTGGGAGACTGAGACAGGAGGATCACAAGTTTGACACCAGTCTCAGCAAGTTAGTGATGCCCTAATCAACTTAGGAAGACCCTGTCTCAAAATAAAAAATAAAAAGTACTGGGTATTTGGCTCTGTGTTTAATTATCCCCTAGATCCAATCACTGGTGCCAAAAAAATAAAAAATAAAGGATCACATTGTACAAAAGGCATCAGCAGTTAAGTTCTAGTACTTTGGATAAAATTTCTATCTTCAGATAAAATTCTAGTGCTTAAACTTTTGCTATACAATATATGGATTATATTACTATTTAGTCTCTCTTAATCTCTCTTTCCCTCCCTCCACTCGCATGCATGTGTGCACACACATAAAAAGTGGAAAGAATTGCATCAAAGTTTACACATTTTTCAAAATTGTGTATTTCTTTTCTTTGCACTTAGATTTTCTCATACCTTGGTTTAAGAGATATGATAATATGTGGTCAAGTAAATCACTCCTGGATGGTGATGATACAGATAACTAAATTGTGGAATGCTGTAAGTAGCTACTCTCTGAACTATGGGGTTATTTTAGTTCTTAAGGGCCAATGGACTGCTATAAGAAGGGACCACCTTCTTCCTTGCTCCTTACTCTGTGGCCACCAGCAACAAGTGCATTTGTTTTTCTTTAGTCTGGGCAGAAGCTTGGAGGGAGAGATAAAAAATAAAATAATGTTATTTTAAGAGATATATTAGTATTTTAAATAGTAGATATGAATTGAATATTATATTAGTATTGAAGCAAAGCCTGTTTTATTGAATATTTTATACCCTATCCTGGCTTCATTATTAATATGTGCCTGATTCCTTCATGAGTGTATACTGTATGTTGAATCCTTGCCTATGAGGAAGACAGTTTAGACTGTGTGGTTTGTAATGACCTATTCATCATTCATAATTTGGAAGGATTAGTTCTACTAAAAAGAAAGAAGAAAGAATGACCTTATGTGCATGGCTAATGTTAGGTAAAACTGATAAGATGAGGGGTTTGAACTCGAAGAGGACAGAAGTGACTGATAATTAAATTCAAAGTATGACATTGATATATTTTTTTTGCTAAAAATTTAAGCATTTAGCTGAAACACCCAATTTGTGAGTAGCCAATTCCTCATTTTGTCATTTCTCATTGCCTTTTTCTTTAAATAATTGTGACACATTTAAACACAAATAAAAGCAAAAATAAAACAAAGGCCAATATATAATTATGGAAATAGAAATTTACTAAACATAAAGAAACCTAACCTCCTATTCTGGCTTTGTTCTTCCTGCCACGTTCTTATATTCTCTACATCTTTATCCAATGAAGGCAGAAGTGCTGGCTTTTTCTAATTTCTGCCAGGCTGCTGCAGGATTTGTCCTGATCTTAATATTGCACATATTATTTCTCCTTCAGAGCATTTGGATTCATTTTTTCTTTTTTATGTGTTCCAAAGCGAAAAGGAACATCCCCAAACATCTGTCACATAAATAAGAGATTTATTCATATAAACTAGTGATTCGTAAAGTGTGGTCCTAAGACCAGCAGCATCAGCAACACCCAGGAACTTGTTGGAAATGCAAATTCTCAGGCCCCACCCCAGAGAAATTCTGGGAGTAGCAAATCAGCAATCTGTTTGTTTGGATCGTTAAATCCAACCAGATGATTCTGATACAGGCTAAAGTCTGAGAATCACTGCATTAAACTAAAAATAAACTTAAGGCATGAGTATCTGATTTGTTAGCTCAGATGGAATCAGTTCTCTTGATATTGTCATACAGAGTGAGAATAAAACAGTTCAGCCAAGAATGGGGAGGGTGCTCTGATGACATGTTTGGTTGACTTATAGATGAGTTCTGCACTGAGCACATTAAGTTGCATTTTCTTAGTTCACCCCTGAAGTTTCTTGAGTTAGGCACTATTATTTTTCTCACTTTACAGATGAAAAACAAAAACATAAGATAAAGACATTGTATCCATCTACAACTAAAAAATATATTAACAAAACCAAAAACTAAGGCTTAGTCAAGTAATAGCCCAAGTTGTTAAGTGGTTGGATAGGAATACAAACTCTGATCACTCTGACTACAAAGCATATACTCTTATTTAGCAAATATTTTTTAAGGAAATGCCACTTTTGCCATTTAATTTTCCCCTACCTGGAAACACAGGATTTCTGCTTTCCAGGTTCTTTGAAAATAATAGAATCTTGGTGGGACTGGTGACACACACCTGTAACCCCATCCATTTTGCAAAACCGAAGCAGGAGGATTGCAAGTTCAAGGCCAGCCTGGGCAACTAGTGAGACCCTGTCTCAAAATAAAACATAAAAATGGATGGGGATATAGCTCAGTGGTAGAGTGCTTCCCAGCACATGTGAGGCCCTGGGTTCAATCCTTAGTACTATGGATGGGGAAAGGGAAATCTTGAACTCTGAGAACCAACTCTCATCAAAAAAATTGACATTGAGGAGTAAAATTCATGTAGGATTTGGTCCATTAAATCCTCTAGATATTGTGAATTTTGTTCTTGGACTGAATTATACAAGCAGAGTAACATAGTTGGATCTTGTTTCTTTAGGTTTTCTGTAAATTGTGCTTTTTTTTTTTAACCCTGAATTCAGCTATTGATCAGTGTTTTGTTGTAAGAAGTCCTTCAATTTATTTAATTAGTTTCTTAGCTTGTTTCTCTCTCTTTCTATTAAAATTCTTTAGTGTACATCCTTTTCCTCATTTTTAAAATACATATGAGTGTGGAGCTAGGGTTGTAGCTCAGTGGTAGAGCACTTACCTAGCATGTGTGAGGCACTGGGTTAATCCTCAGCACCACATAAAAATAAATAAGTAAGGTAAAGGTATTGTGTCCATCTACAACTAAAAAAAAATATTAAAAAAAAATACACGATTGAGGGCTGGGGATGTGGCTCAGTGATTGAGTGCCCCTGAGTTCAATCCCTGGTACAAAGAAAGAAAGGAAGAAAGAAAGAGAGAGAGAAAGAAAGAAAGAAAGAAAGAAAGAAAGAAAGAAAGAAAGAAAGAAAGAAAGAAAGAAAGAAAAGAAAAGAAAAATCTGTTAACACCAAAGATTGGTGATATGTCAATGTTTACCAAGATAGGAATATAAACTTGTTTATCAACATGGGAGGGCAATTCAGAAGCATCTACTTAATTTGAAGACACTCAAATCTAGGACCCAAGCAATTGCATTTCTAGGTATATAGCCTAGAGAAACTCACAGATGTCCTCAAGTCATGTGTTTAAAACAGCAGAAACACTACACACTACCTAAATGTCCATCAATGGAAGAAGAAATATTTTTTAAAAATAATAACTTTTAAAATATATACAATGGAGTGATGGAATGCTATACAGATTTTTTTTTTTGGTGGTACTGGAGATTGAACCAGGGGTACTCTACCACTGAGCTATATCCACAGCCCTTTTAATTTTTTTATTTTGAAGATCTCAGTAAGTTGCCCTGACTGGCCTTGAATTTGCAATTCTCCTGCCTCAGTCTCCCAAGTTTCTGGGATTGCAGTCCTGTGCCACTGTGCCTGGCTACTAGACAGATAGTAAACTAAAGAGTTAAATAAACCTGAATGCATCTCTAAAATAATACTGAGCAAAAAAAATAGAAAAAAAGTAGATAATCAGTCATCATCAAAATTAAAAATTTGGGGGCTGGTGCTGTGACTCAGTGGTAGAGTGCTCACCTAGCATTTGTGAGGCACTGGGTTCAATCCTCAGTTCCACATAAAAATGCAATAAAGATATAAAAAAAATTAAACATTTTTGGATCCAGCAATCCCACTACTAGGTACATATCCAAGGGAAATAAAATCCATATATCAAAGAATCACCTGCACTCCCATGTTTACTGCAGGACCACTCACAATAGCCAAAATTTGGAATCAACCTAAATGTCAACAACAAAGGAATGAGGGGGAAATGTGGTATGTAGACACCAAAGAATACTATTCAGCCATTAAAAAGAGGAAATCTTGTAATCTGCAACATGTAGGGAACTAGAGAACATAATGTTGAGTGAGATAAACCATACCCAGAAAGACAAATACTATACGATCTCATATTTATATGGAATCTTTAAAAGTTGACCCACAGAAATAGAGAGTAGAATATAGGTTAAGAGACTGGAGAGGAGACAGGAAAGGGTAAGGCTGGCGTACAAATGCATGGTTATAAAAGCGAATAAGTTCCGGTGTGCCATTGCACAGTACAGTGACTGTATTTAACAATGATGTGTATTTCAAAAGAGCTGGTAGGGAAGTTTTGGAATGCTTGCCACAAAGAAATGATAAATGTATGAAGTGATGGATATGCCAGTTACCCTGATTTGATCATTATACCATGCATGAATGTATCAGAACATCATTGTTCCCCATATAGATGTATGATTATATGAAAATGTAAAGAATATTTTAAACAAACAAAAATATTTAAAAATACATGATTGTATCTGCAGGATAAATTCCTAAAGGTAACATCATTATGATAAAAGTTAAATTGATTTATAATCACAAAAGTATATGGCGTTATAGACTGACTTTTGCTCCAAGATTTTTTCAGTTCTGCCTGCTTTTTGAAATCTATCATTTCTCATTGTTAAACTATTTTGTATATCTTAACTCACAAGTGGGAGACTAGATGTTGTCTCATGTGTTGAATCATTTAATAATAATAATAAAAAAGAAGCCATTTGTGGACTTGGGATATAGCTCATTGGTTACAGTGCTTGCCTAGCATGTACAAGGCTTTTTAGTTTAGGGTTTTTTTTTTTTTTGGTGGACACAACAAACACCTTTATTTGTATGTGGTGCTGAGGATCGAACCCAGGCTTCACGCATGCCAGGCGAGCGTGCTACTGCTTGAGCCACATCCCCAGCCCCCATGTACAAGGCTTTTCAAAAATTTTTTTAATTTGTTCTTTTTAGATAGACATGACAGTAGAATATATTTTGACCTATTATACATACATGGAGTATAATTTCCCATTCTTGATGTACAAAGCTTTGATTCTCAGAAACATACACATACACATACCCCCAAAGCCATTTGTGTTTAATGTGCTATATTTTTTATTGGCAAACTCAAATCATTTTGGAATTGTGTTTGTATGTGTGTATATTCCTTTTTTACTTATGAAATTTATATTCTCTAGTAGAACACTCTAATATTTTAGTCTTTTTTTCTATTTGGGAATGATGTGATGGAGAACTTTTAGTACTTGATAATTTAAAATATTTAAAATTTTTATATGAAACATATTTTTTGCATTTCTTAATGCCTTTTGTTTATCCTTTTTAGATTAACTTTTCCACGGTGAAGAATACAGTTACAGATAAATATGTAGTGTCTACTTTGCAAAAGTGGCGTCTAAATGTGCTGTGTTTGAATTTTCGTGGTTGTCTTCTCCGACCCAAAACTTTGAAATATGTCAGTAAGTATGTTCATTACAATATTTGTCTTGCTTTTCTATTTTCTAATTAAATAGATGAAAAAAAAACAAATAAAAGGGAAACTTAAGTGATAACCTTAGGTCAAAGAATGTGGACTGCAACCACACTAAAAACTTATAATATGGTTAGTTCTTACTTGATTATATGCTCTGGGAGTGAGTTGGTCCTTTGTGCATTCTTCTTGATCAATATTTGATCTTGCATTTGTCTATTTATGTATCATCAATTTATCAACACCTGTAATCCCAGCAGCTCAGGAGACTGAGGCAGGAAGATCACAAGTTCAAAGCCAGCCTCAGCAACCTAGTGAGGCCCTCAACAACTTATGGAGACCTTATCTCAGAATGAAAAATATAGGGCTGGGGATGTAGCTCACTGGTTAAGCTCCCCTGGATATCTCTCTCTCTCTCTCCCCCTCTTTCTCACCCCTACTTCTCTCTCCCTCCCCATTTCCCTCTCCCACTCCCTCCCCCACACTATTAAGAACATATCCTCACTTAACAAAATCTAGCAATAAACAGTAAAAGTATCTCCCTTCAACTCCCTCAAACCCATTCATTTACTGAAAGGTGCCCAGTATTATCATTTTTCTGTCTTTCTAAGATACATTTACATAGACATGTGGTTTAAAATACACAGTTTTAACTTTTGACATGAAAGAGATCATATTGTTTTAGATTTTCTTTTATGTCTTGGAAGTCTTTGCATGTCAGTATGTACAGACCTACTAAATTCTTTTTAAATATTGTAAAACCATTTTATAGATAGACCATAATTTATTTAATCTTCCTCTAGATGAACAGTAAAGTTATTTCTATTTTTTTCCAAGCTGCTTTGTACTTGCAATGTGATTTTTGTCTTTAACCTATATCTCTTTTGAGATGTGGTTTTTACTTACCATGCATGTATTTATAGAAATGAAACAAATTATTTTTAAAAGCATATTCCATACTGATTCCAGATAATGAGAAAGAATGCCATATATAAGCATAAGTATCAACTTGGATAAGTCTAAAAATAGGGTAAAATCAAGTTGCAGGATGACACATGCACATACATATAATTATATCACATATAATTTAATACAATTTTTCAATGTGAAAAATTAATATGTATATAGTTTGCATTTTTTTTTAAATTAGTGCAAATATATATACACATGTACACATATTTATATTTTTTAAGGACATAGCACACACATTCTAACACATAAAAACACGAATAGAAGTAAAAAACTCTAAATGCAAGATAGTGTTTATGGAAGGGGTGGAGAGTTTAATGAAACGAAGAAGAGGTACACAAGGAATCACTGTTGTTATTTATAAACTTTTTTATTGAAAAAAGAAATTGTACAGAATGGAATAATTCTGATTGATTGTTGCTGGTGCTAAAGAAAACTATAGGTTTTTTTATTTTGGATGATGTTATTATTTTGGACCATATATAAAATTCAGTTCTTGGTTTTAATAGTTTGTCAGTTGATCCTCTTGGGTTTTCTAGGTAAATGGTCATATCATCTGGGATTATTCACAGTTTTGTGTCCATTCAATGTTATATTTATATCTTTTTATTCCCATTTGATTACATTGCTTGGGATCTCCTTTGCAAGGTTGAAAAGAAGCAGAGATGTGGAATCTTGCGTGTTCTTGACTCCTCTTTTCATATTTTTAATGAAAATAATGTTCATATGATTACATTTTAAAATTTCCAGAATACACCTTGTTGTGGGGATATAATGCTATTCTCACTTTTACAACAGCTTTCTCCTCCATATTTATTTCTTATTCAGTCTGATTATAATCTGCCTTTGGTTTTTTTGTTTCATTTTGTTTTTTTTTACACCCATGATATATGGTATATTTTGACATTTTATACATTTTATACATGTGATGGGGTGCAACCCATCACAATTTTTGTACCATTCTTGTGGTTAAACATGATATGGAGTTACACTGGTTGTGTATTCATATGTGAGCATAGGAAAGTTATGTCTGATTTATTCTACTGTCTTTCCTATTCCCATCCCCTCTCCCTTCCCTTCATTCCCTTTTGTCTAATCTAATGAATTTCTATTCTTCCCTCCCTACTAATTATGTGTTATCATCTGTATATCAAAGAGAACATTTGGCCTTTGGCTTTTTGGGATTTTGATTTATTTCACTTAGGGTTTTCACATAGGTATCTTTGGAAATGATAGTCTCCAGTTCCATCCATTTACTGGCAAGTACCATAATTTAATTCTTCTTTATGGCTGAGTAATATTTCATTGTGTACATTTACCAAATTTTCTTTATCCATTCATCTGTTGAAGAGCACCTGGGTTGTTTCCAAAGCTTGATTATTATGAATCGAGCTGCTATAAACATTGATGCGTCTGCATCACTGTAGTATGCGGATTTTAAGTCATTTGGATATAAGCTGAGGAGTTGGATAACTGTGTCAAATGGTGGTTCCATTCCAAGTTTTCTGAGGAATCTCTGTACAGCTTTCCAGAGTGGTTGAACCCAGTTTGCAGTCCCACCAGCTATGTAGGAGTGTACCTTTTACCCTACATCCTTGCTAATATTTATTGTTACTTGTTTTCTTGGTAACTGTCATTCTGACTGTAGTGAGATGAAATCTCAGTGTAGTTTTAATTTGCATTTCTCTAATTGCTAGAAATGTTGAACATTTTTTCATACTTTTTAAAAAAATTTTTTATTGTTGATTGTTCAAAACATTACATAGTTCTTGATATATCATACTTTTTTTGACCATTCATATGTCTTCTATGAAGTGCCTGTTCAGTTTATTTGCCCATTTGACTGGATTATTTGTTTTTTTGTGTGTGCGTTAAGTTTTTTGAGTTTTGTGTATATCCTGGAGATTAATGCTCTATCTAAGGTTCAGGTGGTAAAGATTTTCTCCCATTCTGTAGGCTCTCTGTTCATGTTCTTGATTGTTTTCTTTGCTATGAAGAAGCTTTTTAGTTTAATGTGAGCACTCTACCACTGAGCTACAGCCCCAGCCCAATCCTTTTTATTTCTGTAAACTGGATACTAACATATATACTTTCATTTCATATTTTAGTGACATTTGTCCTTTCTTGTTTCTTTGTCAATATAGCTAAAATATTATCAATTTTTTGATTGTTTCAACCAACCAACTTTTTGATTCTTTTTTTATTGGTAAAATACATATATTATCAAAATTTTGGTTGTAATTCCTATAATTGTACAGTTCTATACAGTTACATTTGCATTGCTGTCAACTATCACCATCCATCTCCAGAACTTTTGCATCATACAAAATTGAAACCTGTACCCATGTAGAACTAACTCTTCATTTCTTCCTGACTGGCCTGTGGCAACCACCATTCTAATGTCTATCACTATAAATTTGATGATTCTAGGTATCTCACGAAAGTCGAATTATAGAATAGTTGTCCTGTTACTAGCTTTTTTTTTTTTTTAAACATATGTCTTCAAGGCTCACTCACGTTGTGGCATGTGTCAGAATTTCCTTCCTTTTTAAGGGTGAATAATATTTGTGTGTGTGTGTGTGTATGTGTGTGTATACCACATGTTGTTTATCAGTTCTTCCATCAATAGACACTAAGATTGTTTCTACTTTTTTGCTACTGTGACTTATGTTGCTGTGAATTCAGGTGTTCACACAATTTCTAACTCTTCTTCTAGTCTCTATTTAGTTTATTTCTACTCCAATCTTTATTATCCTGGTTGTTTGGGGCTTCATTTGATCTTTTTCTAGTTACTTTAAAAAATTATCAATAACAGAAATCTATTTTTTAACAGACATGTATAAATTATACACACTTATAGGAAACCATGTGTTTTGATACATTATGTAGTATTCAGATCAGGGTAAATATATCTATCTCCTCAAACATTTATCATTCTTTTATGGTAAAAATATTCAAAATCCTTCATTCTAGATTTTTAAAAAATATCCAGAACATTGTCATTATTTAGACTCACACTACTGCACAGGAGTTATGTTTCTAGTTTTTTGTTTTGTTTTGGTACTGGGGATTGAAACCAGGGGAACTTTAACAAGCTATCCCTTTTTATTTTTTAATTTGAGACAGAGTTTTTTGAAGTTGCTGAAGGTCTCCCTAAGCTGCTGAGACTGGCCTTAAACTTGGAATGCTCCCTGCCGCAGCCTCCAGAATTGCTGGCATTAAAGGCATGTGCTACTGCACCCAGCTTATTTCTAGTTTCTTTTTATTTATTTATTTTTTAGTTTTAGGTGGACACCATATCTTTATTTTACGTTTATGTGGTGCTGAGGATCAAAACCAGTGCCTCATGCGTGCTACTGGAGCACTCTACCACTGAGCCACAACCCCAGCCCCTATTTCTACTTTCTTAATGTGAAAAATTATGTTGCTGATTTGGGGCCTTTCTTCTTTGTCTTTATGATAATCTTCTGCTTCTGCTTTATTATTTTTAGAGCAGTTTTAGGTTCTCAGAAAAACTGAACAGATTTTATAGGAATTCCCATTATATTTCCTGCCCCCACACATTTTAGTTCCCCACTGTCAACGTCTCCCACAGGAGCCACACATTTGTTACAATTGATGAACCTACATTGACATGTCATTATCACTCAAAGTCCATAGTTTACCTTAGAGTTCAATCTTGGTGGTGTACATCTATGAATTTGGATAAATTTATAATTATACATCTATCATTATAGTATTATATTTCATTCCTCTAAAAGGTCTGTTTTTTGTTCATTCATTGCTTCCCCTTGTCAACCTCTTGCAGCCACTGATCTGTTTATTGTACCTATAGTTTTGCTTTTTCCAGAAGGGCATATAGTCGGGATAATATAGTAGTAGCCTTTTCTTTCACTTGGTAACATGCAATTAAGTTTCTTTCTTATCTTTTCATATACCACAATTCATTTATCCCTTCATCTATTGAATAGTATCTTGGCTGCTTCCAAGTTTGAGCAGTTATGTGTAAGTTTGTGTGTGTGAGTTGTGTGTGTGTGTGTGTGTGTGCCTATGGGCATAAATTGTGTTAGCTTCCTGTCACTGTGAAAAAATACCTAATATAAACAACTTAAAAGGAAGAAATGTTTATTTTAGCTAAGGGTATCAGTGGTTTCAGTCTGTGTACTTGTGGCATCATTACTTCTGGGCCTATGGAGAGGCAGAGGCACATGGCAGAGGAAAGCTGCTTACCCCATAGTGGCAAGGAAGCAAAGAGAAACAGGGAGGGGCTAGGATTGGGAGCATATGAATATCCTGAAAATATTCCCTCATATGAATGGAATATAATCCTTTGGGAGACACTTAACAGCCAAACTATAACCTAGTGTTCAACTCATTTGATTAGATAACAAGAAGCACGATTGGAGATTGTGTAGTGGGAGTGTGGTTAGTTTTGTAAGAGACTGCAAAACTATATTCTAGGGTGGCTGTACCACTTTGCATTCTCATCAGCAATGAATGAGAGTCCCTATTGCTCCACATCCTCTCCAACATTAGGTATTGTCAGTGTTCTGGATTTTAGTCATTCTAATAGAGCGTAGTGGTATCTCATTTTTGTTTTTACAATTTATGTCCCTAATGACATAAGATGTGGAGTATTTCACATACCTATGTCTTTTTGGTGAGGTGTCTGCTAAGGTTTTTGTCCCACTTTTAAATCAAGTTGCTATCTTACTGCTGAGTTTTAAGAGTTCTTTGTATATTTTGGATAATGGTTCTTTGTCAGATGTGTCTTATGCAAATATATCCACCAAATTTGTGGCTTGTTTTTTCATTCTTTTGATCTATCTTCTTTTAAAAAATAGGCATTTACAGCTATAATCTTCCCTTATTTTTTTTTTAACTTCTTTCACATAAAGACTTCCTGATACTTAGGCACAGGCTCACTGGAAAGTTTGGGATAGGAGAATAAAGGGTAACATAGGTTGTAACTTGTGTGAAGTACAGACAGTCAGACAATGAAAATGCCTAAGTCAAACTCTCTACTGTGCAGTGCATATGTTGACTGTATGTTCATTGTATCAGATAATGGCATGTTTTATATTCTGACACATAATATATATAGTAGTTTACAATTGGATCTGAGATCAAGATAACCTAAAATATTTTGTTGCTTTAGACTTTTTGATATTTTGTTGTCTATTTTAAAATGGAAGTATAATTCTTGGTACAAATACCTTTATCACAGAAATACTTAAGCATGCAAGCCTGAAAAGATATTGATTTTTTTAAAAGGCAATAAATATGTTTCATGTTTGTGATATTTAAAATTTGCTACCTGTTATTTAATTAAACCAGTTTTAATTCTAGCATTATAGCAAACTTGAGTGTGTTAAAGATAAAAGCTATTCTCAGAGATGTTTTAGCTTTTCCATTTCACCCTAGCTTTTCTACTGGTGTGTCTAGAATTATACACATTCCTTTCAAGGAGTTTGGTTTTTGGATTTCTAGGTTGAAGAAAAATATTGGCCCATCTTTGGGGCTGTTTGGTTGAGCACAATAGTTGTAATCCTCATGTCAATATAAGCTTTAAAATAAAATTAACCTTAAAATGTTATCTTAAAATGTTTAAAAGGCAGATGAGGGAACAGGTCCATGGAACTGGGGCAAGTGGATTCTCAATGTTAGAGTCTGTAAACAAGTCAGGATGGCGCCTGGTATTTTGCCAGGGGGAGTGGTTTGTGAGGTGGCGCCAGCGAGCCATTAAGTGTGGAGATTCCTTATTGGTTGACTGCTGTATCTAGTTTATGTTAATTAAGACAAGCTGTGTGGAATGTATAAATACCCCTCCGGTCCTACAATAAACGGCTCCCACTCCTGCTGTATCAATGTACACAAGTTGCTCGTCACCCCCCCCCCCCCTTACTTTGCTGCAGCCGGACTGCGGCATCTCATCATTGAATTTCTTCTATTTGCCAGAGCAGGAGACTTCAGATTTCTCCAAAACACATGAATTAATCTAGGGTATAGGCTCCAGAGTAGGGAATAGCTAGTATATGAAAACAAACAAATAGACAAACAAAAAGCCTACCACAACTACCACCAAAACCCACCACCAACAAGATCAAGAACAACATTAACAACAAAAAATATCTTTCTGAAATAATCAGGCATTAAGTCAGAGATAATGGGCTTAGGATTCAGGAGATCTTAGTTCCTAGTAAATCTTGTTTACGTCAGAGAAATCAGAGAACCTTAGGTCCAGCAAGAAAGTTTAAATAAAAAACTTATTCTATCTAAATACTCAAGTGAAATACATATTTGGTCAAATATGAGAATCCCAGAATTGTCATATTTTTGACTAGCAAGAAGTATACTTATTTTTTAATCTCCTGAATTCATCATCGAAGGCAAAGTTATTAGAGTAACTATCAAGGAAGAAATTAGTAGAAGAGGAATTATCTAATTATTCCTTCTATCATGGATGGAATATGCTTCCCAGAAAAATATGAACTCTGATACAGAGAAGAGGCAGCTGTAAGCTTTGAAAAATATGCTTCAATTAAAGTCCTGGAAGATATTAGTAGCTCCAATAAACTTACTTTTGGATGGTCTGGATTAATTTCTATTTTTTTCTAGAGCTTTATTTCCAAATAGATCTCTGGGGATACTATTGGATATAAAAATCTACCAACACAATCCCAACTATCTTATTAAAAATTAAACCAGAGAACACCTTGGATCCTTTCTCAGAATCAGATTAAATCTCCTCATTTCATTCCAGAATCCTCTTGCCCCCACTGTGATCCTCTTGTCTCCTTCTGATGTCCCCCAACCTTTCTCATCACCAAATCTTGGATGTTTCAGTTTCCATGTTCTTAATATTCCACCCTAAGGCTCACGGACAGTAAATGATATTGTTACATCTCTCTGGTAGTACTTCAAATTTGACAGCTGTCTTTAATGTCATGAATAATATGGAGATTTAGGAGATTTTCATTGAGAAACAGTATCTCAAAGTCTTTACCTCTGAACCAAACCACTGGTAAAATGGATAAAATGGTTAGAACCTTACAATCCAGACTCATTTCCTAAACTACCAGCTCTGGACATTCCTCCAGCTTCCCCATCTTGGTTTCCTATGTAAATTAATGCAAATTTAAATATTTTGGACCAAGACTGTCTCCTCCCCGTTGCTTTCTATGGTACTCCTGGAGAGACAGGCTTAACCCTCTTGTCATCTGCTCCTCTTTGGGGATTTGGTTCTTGAAGTGCTGATGCCAGACAGCCAAGACTGAACCCTAACTCGTTAGAGTTCTGCACAACCTGCACAGCAGAAAGTGTTCAGACCGACCTGAACCCAGGCTCTGCTACCTGTCAGTCCTATAGCTTTGTGCAAATTACCTAAACTCTAAAAAACAAAACAAAACAAAACAAAAAAACCCTTGGATTCCTCATCTATAGAAGGCAGATAACATTAACTTCCTCAGAGAACTCTTTTGAGAATGACAAGTGGAGTTTGTGAAACTCTTAGCCTAGTGCCCAGCATCTATTAGGTGCTTAAAAGGGCTCAATACTATTTATCATATACCATCTTCCATGTTCGGGGAGTTTGTGCAAGTATAAGACCAGTTGCTAAACTTTGTTGGAAGAGCTTGATACAAGAAATGAAAATGTATTCAACTCAAGGTGAAAAGGAAATCTGTGTAAAAGGAAAAAAAAAATAGTATTTCACTAAAGATCAAATATGTTTCTTTTCACTTTGTTTTTCTTTCTATTGACCATTTAAATGAAAGCTGATGGAGTCAGAAGTTTAAATTCTCCATGCATGTGCTCTTTTCTTGTGACCTATTTCTGTAGATGAGCTAATTTGAATTTGCAAACCCAAATCAGGAATTCTCTCAAGCACCACTCCTTCCCTCAGTTGTCTCTGAATTAGTTCCTGTTTTTCTATTTGGCTTCATCCCAAAGTACTCAGGCTGTCTACCACTGACAGAAGGCTTCCTGAACACTACTGCGGGGGGGGCGGGGGGGGGAGTTTCTATATTCACTAGTGTTTATACCTCCTCAGGGCTCATGATTCATACCATCTACTTCTGCTTTTCAGAGCCCATTCTCTAACCAGCTTTCAATAATATAATTTTCTTATTCTTATTTTTATTGTGACAATTGCTTTTTAGGTCTAGCTTGATAGTTATTTGCAAGGATCAGTGAAGACTGGTTGAGAATTTGAGTTAACCAGGACCTTATTTTGGAATGTACAGGAGTAGAAATGAGAATTTGTTTAATGTTTACATTGATTTTCTGAAAAAAAGGGGGTGCATGGAGGAGGGAACAACATTTTATTATGATTAAGCATTTGTATCTTTTCATTTTGATCATCTTTAGATATTGACAGACAGCTATTAAAAGGCATGTTAAAACAAACCAAGTCCCCCCCCCCCAAAGCAGTAAAAACAATTATACAGGACATTATGAAATTCTAATGCCATTACTAGGACCCAAGTCCTGCAGGTTACCAGCATGGAATCCTGTATCAGCAGAGGCTGCTCCACCAATGGACAGACATGCAGGGTGACAGTATTCCCTTGATTACTATACTTGTCATAATGTAATAACAATTATGAGATAAAAAGGAAACCTTTCTATACCTGATAACGCTACATAAATAGGTAACACAGTTAATCAAAATGTAAACATATGGTTTTTCTCACACCAGTATAGCAAATAGGAGACTATTTACAGCCAGAGCAATTCTAAGTTATCCCACTATAGTGATTCTTACACCTTGTTTCTTTGTTGTATGATCCTTGTGTATTTTTTCCCATTCGTCATCTTCTGTATCCTGGTCAAATGTCTCAGGGTATGCTGGTAACTTGTCTTTGGGGCATTCTTCATAGTAACTCCGGACATATTTTCCCACAGACCATCCTTTGTATTCTTCTGGTGTTTTGCATTCCAGGCCATTATAATGGACATTGTAGTGGTGTATTAACCAATAGTAGAGGTAGTGGATGTTGTAGTCACATCTCCAAGGATTATCTCTAAGCCATAAGAGTTTCAAAAAATACAAGTCTTCTAATACTCCATAGTCAAAGTTTTGCAGCCTGTTATTTGATAAATCCAGCTCTTCTAAATGTGTGAGCCCTAAAAAAGCAGCTAGAAACAGAAAATATTTATTAAACCAATGAATAATTGAGTTAATGCAACGATCTATAGTGAGTTGTAAGGATAAATACAAATTAAAAATAAGAAGTTTGATTCTCCCTGTTGAAAATAAAGGAAGTTTTCCCTTCTCTCCTTTTTCTCAGACATTTACAGAAAATTTGTAAATATAACCACTTTCTCCTCTCTTTGAAATGTCTTTAAATCCTTTTAAAGACTAGATAGGCCATTTGTCACCATTAAAATCCAGGAATGTCTTTCTCAAGGACTTGGGAGCCATCTTTTTGAAATGTAAACATCAACTAAAATAAGCCCTTGTATCCCAGTTTCTGTAAGGCCAGGAGCCTAATTTTGGTGGCATTTTGCTTCCAGTTGCAAGACTACCTGGATAAAGTCGAAGAGCTAACCCAGATAGATGGTCCACTTACCAGATAAAGTTAGAATGAGCTATATGTAATAAAATGTAATATCAAGTTCTATTACTTGAGAACTTGTTTATCCTTAAAACATGTATGTAATGGGTAGTATATAAAAGACAAGATTCTCTCTGTCTTTGCATTCTGTTAGTGATTGCCTATGCTGTACATCTCATTCTGGTATAAAGTTTATTCAATAATGAAAGTGTTTTTCTTTTTTTCTTTACTACCTTTGTGGAGAGGATGTCTGGGTTGGGAGGAGATTTTTAAAAAATTCTATTTTCCCACTATGCCTATTTAAATGCATACTTTCTAAAACATATTTTTATTCAAACAAAGCTTTCCCCTTGATTAGATTGACTAGTATACAGCGTTTGATTTGAAAAGTCAGCTTTAGGTTAGCTTTTAAAACAGTATTTTCTGATATGCATTATTTTATGCTTACTAGAAATATGACACCAAAAGAGGGAGGGAAAGAGAGAGAGGGAGGGAGGGAGGGAAAGGGGGGTGGGAAAAAATATTTCAAATGTAAGATTTGAGTACAGAAAAAATGAGAAGTGTGACTGTTGATGATTTGATAGCTTCCTGGGATATCAGTAAATTCTAAAAATGCCTGGAAAACAATCTTTCCCCAGTTTTGAGGGGAAAGATTCTAATTCTGTAGAGTCCCCAAACAATCTGCTAATGTTATGAGAACATCTGGTTGTATTTGGCAAGCTATGGAAGCTGTCTGCCTTGGATCCATATGTATTTAATTTTGCTAGAGGGTGAATAATTAGAACAAATATCAAACACATAACAAAATAAAACAACAAAGTTTTTTTTTCCTCCAAGAGCAAAGAATATTCTATCTTAATTCTATTTTAGTTGATATGAACTAAACAGATAATTTCAGAATTTATAGGTTAATCCTGATTTCAGATGTATTGTTTCTATTTCAGCCATTTTCTCATTACTGTTTTAAAATGCCCTTGTTAGAGCATAGTATTCTCATTTTTGAATTTGGAAAATATGCTGTCATACCAATACCATTAACTATTTTCATATCATCTGTTCTCAGACAAAACCGAAATTCCCCCTAAAAATATATTTTATATTTTGATATAAAGCAATGGCTTGGGGGTCTAGGTGGGAGTGGGGGAGACAAAAGTTCAGTCCTTGTGATTATAGTGCTGAAGACATTGCATTTTTTTTCTATTTGTTAAAATTCTGTATGTCAATGATTTCACAAATTGTCTTTTATTAAACTGATTCCACCCAAAAGCATGTGTAAATATTCTTAAATTTTATTTTGGAAGTACTATAGTTGTCACTTAAACCATATGAATCTAGGCACTTGGGAAAGCTAGTTTTCATCTGTTTCTTAAAGGAGGTAAAACGACTCGTAGGGTGACTTCTTTCCCTTTTCCACAGTAACTCCTGGCATTTCATAAGATTATTATTCATGAAATTCTCACTGCATTTGCATACTTGCCAGGCAAAATCATTAAAGTAAGTCTACTTTGGCAGTGTTTCATCTCAAAGATCCTGGAACATAGTAGGTCTTTTATCTGAAAACTCCTTTAGGTTATTTTGCCTTATTTAAGTGCTGAGATACTTTTTTTGTTCCAAAGGACATACTCCCACAAAAAGTGGCTGGCATTTAGTAGGTGCACAATACATATTTATTAGTGTAGGAAATACTTTCCTTGGATTGAACTGAATGAATTTATTAAAAACTGGGTATCACTGCTGATAAATAGGGATCAAGTCAAATGTCAGCAAGGAAAATTCATAGGGTGAACAACATTAAAAGGATCCTAAGGATGGGAAAGAAATCCTTGCAATTTCGTGAATTCTATAAATGATGAAGAAAAAATATGATTGGAAGTAAAATAAATCCATTTTTTAGCTATCATCTGTCTCTGTATTGTCTCCTTTCATTTTTTCGCCAGTGTTCTTTATATACTGTAGTTTTCCTGTAATTATAACATTATTGCATTATTATTCACTGCTTTTAATATGTTTAACTTGGGCCATATAATAACTAACATTTTATTTATTTTTTGAGAAAGATCTAAAACTTCTTTGCATCCATACTGTTTTTCTTTTTTCTTTCTTTTCTGTTTTTTCCCCACCTCTTCATTCTTTTTCCAGTTGGGAGGTCAAACTCAGGGCCTTGTTCATGCTGGCCCAGCCCTCTGCCTCTGAGCCACATCCTCAGTCCTTGCACCCACATTTTTGATAGTTGGTAAGCTATTGCTGTAGGTGACAGCATCAGAAAGAAATTGGACACTTGCCCAGGGACCTTGGATATGGCATACTTGTCCTGTTGGTCTTTGGTTCTCCTGGGGCAAAGAAAGCATCTCCACCTCCAGATCCTTCACTCTCTGCCTCCTGGCTTTGTAGAGATTAGCTACTGGTTATTGACCTGCACACTAGGAAAATTAGCGCTTCATGTGGGAGAAGAGTGTTTCTATGGTGTTCTTATTTAATGTGAAGTGAAAATTGCGTTTGGTCTTGCCATTCAAAGATACTTTCAAATTTGCCGTATTTATATAGGCGAAGGTGTGAGTATAGCACGTTGCTGTCCCTTTAAGAAATTTTAAAAATTACAATTTTGTAATATTTTTAAAAGATGTTAATTCTAAAATATGCCTTTGTGGCTCCAGAATATTCGTCCTTAATTTTCACTTCTATCATGTTAAAATTCTAAGGTTTATTAATAGTACTAGATTACCATTAAGAAAAGTCAGAGAAATAATTGCATTCAAAATGTTTATAACATTATATTTGATTATTAATAATATTAGTAATTTTGTTATAGTTAGGACTTTTCAAATTTAAGTAGCTTCATAAAAGGCACATGTATTCTGTATGTAGCACATCTTACCATTGTTTCAGTAATTCTCAGTTCCTTCTGCATCTTGTATGTTTTAAGTTCATTTTTTTTTTTTTTTTGCCAGAGGCTTTTCTTAGCAAATAGAGAAGAGATGTGAAGTTGGAAAGAGAACTGATCTTTATTTAGGATGAGAAATAACATGTCTTGCTCTAGTTTGAGCATATTTTATCTTAATTTGTGAGGGTTGTATTTAGCAATTAGTTTCAAATTTACTCTAAGCAAGTTGGCAAATAAAATGCCACATCTGAATTTCTGTTTAAAAATTGTTACATGTTCACTGTATCAATGATCACTTGCCATATCTTTCCATTTTAAAAAAATATATTCTACAAAATAATTTATTTGGGCTAAATGAATACATATCACAGTCGGTGACTGTAACACATACTTTACAAAGCAACTTTTGGCAGCTATTTCTTTCAGTGCCAAACAAGTCCTAATTTAAGTGCTACACTTGATTAAAATTCATACTTTTTAATTATTTAGCTTAGTTTAGTTTTTTTTTTAAACTGTATTTACTGTAAATGTTGCTATAAAAGAGAAATCACAGAAGAGCCCCATTTAAGGGGCTGATATTCAATGAAACTTACCAGGGTCTATGAATTCAATGGTGTTACTGCTGAGGTTCAATTTCTTAAGCTCATGAACATCTTCAAATTCCTTGGGTCGAAGTTGGTTGATTTTATTGTATGATAAGTCAAGTTTAACAATATCTGGAGGGATGTTGGTTGGAATTTTCTTCAACTCTGGAAAAATTAATAGTATTTAGGTTATTTTATTTAGTATTGGAGCGCTCCTTGCTCTAGGTCTCTCTTCACTGCTAAACTCATGTGATTGAAGAATTAACTCTTAAAGATAAAGTGTAAGGATATCTAGAGCCAAAGAAAACTGGTATGAGCAAGTCTTAGTGTCTGCTAAATTCTGTCAAAGCCCAGTGAATCAAGTGCATCAAACTTAGAGGAAGGGCTGTCAATCCTTGCTGAGCTGTTCAAAGAAACTCCCTAGATGCAATGGTAGAAAACCAAGAGGAGAAACAGCAGGCAGTGCCATATAGGTAGCCAAAGAGGAAGGTAGGACTTAGTTCCAGCTACCAGTAGTTGCCGGGGAAGTTTTTGAAAAAAAGAATCAAATAAAATCTGTAAGTCAAACAACTGCAGACCAAACTGCTGTAAGCCTGTCTCCTCCCACTCTCTTTCTACTTCTGAATTTTCTAATAATATTGCTTTTTTATTTGTATCTTCATTTTATCCTTCTTTTTAGATTCCCTCTGCTCACAACTAAGCTCAATTTGCTTCACTCTAAAAAACAAATGAAAAGCTCATGACCTCCATGATCTTAAGCAGCAGTAATCAGTAGTCTCCCATTATCCTCAGGAGATACATCCCAAGACCCCCAGTGGATGTCTAAAACCATAGGTAGTATGAAACTCCAGGTATACTGATTTTTACCTATACATCTAGACCTGTGATAAAGATTAATTTATAAAGTAGGCACATAAGGTTAATAATACCCAGTAATAAAATGGAATAATTATAAGTGTCCTCTAATAAAAGTTATTTAAAACATCTATTGGATTGTCCATGAATAATACCATTTCCTGCTTTCCTTTCCTCAGTGGTAGTTATCAACGTCAGACATAGTATACATTTTACTGATTTTTTTCCCCCTTGTTTTTTGCTCCCCTTCCCTCCCTTCCTCCATGGAATCTGCATGAGGGAGAGTTGGGACAGTGCCAGAGTAAATAGATAAGTGGTGTGTGGCAGGTAACTTCTATGATGGCAGCAAATAATCCCTACTACAGATATTCATGCCCCTGCATATAAACCTCTCCTTTGAGTATGGATGAACCTAGTGACTTGCTTCTAACCAAGAGAATGTAGCCAAAGTAGTGGGATATTGCTTCTGTACTTGGGTTACAAGAGAATGTGACTTCCATCTTGCTAGCAGAGCCCTCTTTAATTGGCTTTGATGAAACGAACTGCCATGTTAGGGAGGCCCCTATGGCAAGAAATTAAAGGTGACCAATAGCCCTCAAATATTTCTAACAAATCTTAGTATTATTTGAAAACCACAGACAATTGAAGTCAAGGAAAGACAGAAGAAATAATTTTTTTGACACTTAGAATTTGGGATAATTATTGAGAATGGCTATAGTATCTTGTAATAGAAATCTTGAAAAAGCAGAGCAGAATTTTATTTCAAAATACCCAGAATCCCACTTCTTCTTACTTCCTCCATTGTTACCACATTGATCCAAGTCATCACTTCTTATCTGGATTATTCCAATAATGTCCTAAGCCTATGTGATCCTGACAGACCAGATGGCAGAATCCATCCAATGGCTTCCCATCTCAAAATGAATGAAAGCCAGGATGAGTGAAGCCCTATAAGCCATTGAGGGTTGTAGGGCATCTTGGTCACCAGAGTCAGCACCTTCTAGATTCTAGAAATCAGCCTGTTTATCAGAACTTGCTTGCCAAATCCACAGCTACTAGGCTGGACAAGAGGGTGACACAACAACCTCTGAGGGACAAGCTAAAGTGGGTTAGCCACAAATAAATGGATAGCAAAAAATGTTTACGCAAACACTCTGGAACCCAACTTGAGCAAAGTGGCAGATCTGTGGATGCTGGCAAAGGAATATGAATTACAAAACCAACTTTGGGGTTGTCAGCAGAAATCCTGGATAAAAATAGGATCCACAAGTAGTACCAGGAAATGTAAACCAATGCTTTTACTAGTATTTCTTTGAGAAGAGGGAAAATCTTACTTCTTGTATTGATGAGTAAAAATAGTTCTTTACTATAGAACTTGAATAAGAATTGTAAATCTTGAGGCTAAGTATGTTTGTCTTCCATAAAGAATGTATAAATAAATATTTCCTCAGGCCAGAAGTCAAATTTCTTCAATATCCCCATTTCTAGATCAGGCATCACATGGTATCCAGATTTCATGTTTATTGCTACCCAAAGTCTTCATAAATGCCCTGACAATGCCATATTTGCTTGATTATTATTCTTTACAGATCTTGCTTCTCCTCCAACCAAACCTTACTGACTTTGAGGAGGGAATTGGGAAAGTTTCTCCCTCTAATTTCCCCCATTTAGTAGTTATCTTGGTTGTCAGCAACCTCAGAATTAATTTGAAAGCTTGGTTGTAGGAGTTAAGGAGATGAATGACCCTGTTTATTGCAAACTTAAAAATCCTCAACAGTTTGATTTAGGGAAAAAATTGTGTATTTATCATCAGAGCAGCTGGAGACAATTTACCTACACAATTTGCCCTAGCCTGACCTTTGAAGTGAAAATGGTAAATTATCCTGGTAAACGTGAAGTTAAAAGCAGTTTAAGAACTCTGTTTTCCTGTGTTCTTAGCAAATGCATTTACCTCAATATGGCATAAATGTACCTTTCAACTAATCCCACATTTTATTCCCTTTGAAAGACTTAAGTTTTGTTGGCAAAGTGCCTGTCTCTCAGTAAAGAAACTATTATTTTATTTCTTGCTGTCAGATTTTTAAGGCAAAAATAGTGATCTTTGAGGTCTATGTGGTTGAATTGGCATTAGGGACCCTACGCATACCATCTGACTCATTGTTAAGTCAGTTAGGAAAGGCTCAACTCCCACTAGAGGGATCTGTATTGCAGATTCTCTCTATGCAATTATGTGTATTTTTCTAAAGAGCTTAAAAGGAGGCTTCAATACTGGGAGGAATTGTACAGGAAACATTAATAATTCTTCATATAATATATAACAGCCAGAATCTTGAAGGGAGAGATGGCATTACTTGGTGGCTAATGACTTGAAAACTGTGTTACTGACAACTTGTGTGATCTTTGAAGGGCAAGTTAGCTTCTCTATACTTCAGAGAAGGTTTAGAGATATATATCACTTATAAAATCAAAGTAATAATACTTCTTTTAGGGTTGTGAGGAGTAAATGACAGTGCGTATAAACCTCTGTCTCCTTTGATATAAGGAGGCTGATTCATAGTGGGATAGGCAGCAGGAGCATGGGAGGAAAAGACGAACTCTAGATAGGGCAGACAGTTTGGAAGGGACGAGAGGGGGGATGGGGTAATTAATGATGGTGGAATGTGATGATCATTATTATCTAAAGTACAGGTATGAAGACACAAATTGGTGTGAATATACTATATATACAACCAGAGATATGAAAAATTGTGCTTGATATATGTAATAAGAATTGTAATGCATTCTGCTATCATATATAAATAAAAATTTTAAAAAACAAAAACAAAAAAAACCTCTGTCTCACTGCATGGAGCATATAGGTACTAGCTGTTATTCATTAATATTACTGCTAGTTCCTCTCTTGATGGCATGTTTTAGGCCTCCTTAGATTCTATACAGTGTCTAAAATGTGAAGCATAATTATCAAAAGCATTACTACTTTCTCGCAGGGAGCTAGAGATGCACATTGCTAAGCATTTATTTTTCATATTTAACATTTGTTACTCATTTATAGAATGGAATAAGAAAAATTAGATCAGATTAAATTCAGGTTGTCATGCTTATATTCTAGCTATGATTTCTAACATATGTATTTTTATTTTTAAAGGTTTCTTAAATTCCTTTTCTTTTCTGAGCAAAGAAAAACCTCTGAATTATTTTCACCAATCTAAAGTACATGGCCCTGGCCAGGCACTACTAAAGGGAGTATAATAGACAAGCCCTCTGCCTTTTTTTTTTAATTTTTATTGTTGGCTGTTCAAAACATTACATAGTTCTTGATATATCATATTTCACACTTTGATTCAAGTGGGTTATGAACTCCCATTTTTACCCCATATACAGATTGCAGAATCACATCAGTTACACATCATTGATTTACATATTGCCATACTAGTGTCTGTTGTGTTCTGCTGCCTTTCCTATCCTCTACTATCCCCCCTCCCCTCCCCTCCCCTCCCCTCCCCTCTTCTCTCTCTACCCCCTCTACTGTCATTCATTTCTCCCCCTTGTATTATTTTTCCCTTTCCCCTCACTTCCTCTTGTATGTAATTTTGTATAACCCTGAGGGTTTCCTTCCATTTCCATGCAATTTCCCTTCTCTCTCCCTTTCCCCCCCACCTCTCATCCCAGTTTAATGTTAATCTTCTTCTCATGCTCTTCATCCCTACTCTGTTCTTAGTTACTCTCCTTATATCAAAGAAGACATTTGGCCTTTGTTTTTTAGGGATTGGCTAGCTTCACTTAGCATAATCTGCTCTAATGCCATCCATTTCCCTGCAAATTCTATGATTTTGTCATTTTTTAATGCAGAGTAATACTCCATTGTGTATAAATGCCACATTTTTTTTATCCATTCGTCTATTGAAGGGCATCTAGGTTGGTTCCACAGTCTTGCTATTGTGAATTGTGCTGCTATGAACATCGATGTAGCAGTGTTCCTGTAGCATGCTCTTTTTAGGTCTTTAGGGAATAGACCGAGAAGGGGAATAGCTGGGTCAAATGGTGGTTCCATTCCCAGCTTTCCAAGAAATCTCCATACTGCTTTCCAAATTGGCTGCACCAATTTGCAGTCCCACCAGCAATGTACAAGTGTACCCTTTTCCCCACATCCTCGCCAGCACTTGTTGTTGTTTGACTTCATAATAAGCCCTCTGCCTTTACATAGGAATTGACACTATAGTAAAAAACAATAAAAAATAGGGGCTGGGGTTGTGGCTCAGAGGTAGAGCACTTGCCTAGCATGTATGAGGCACTGGGTTCGATCCTCAGCACCACATAAAAATAAATAAATAAAATAAAGATATTGTGCCCAACTACAACTATAAATAAATAAATAAATGAAGAATAAATGATCAAGTGAATCAGTAGATTTATATAAACAATGGTGAACCATCTATAGTGCTAAAAAGGCAAAATTATCCTCCATTTTATAATCTTAGAGTATATACTCTGCCTGGGAAGGGTGTGGGAGGAGGATGGAGAGAGAATGGTTAAAAGGTACAGGGTGCAGATAGAAGAAGGAATAACTTCTAATGTTCTGTAGCACAGTAGAATAGCTGTGGTTAGCAACATTATTTGTATATTTTGAAATAGCTCTTAGAGGGGATTTTGAATGTTTCCAACACAAATGGTAAACATCTGAGGTGATGGATGTGCCAGTTACCCTGATCTGATCATTTATATCATATGCATGTATTAAAATATCACACTGTGGGGCTGGGGTTGTGGCTCAGTGGCAGAGCACTTGCCTCACACATGTGAGGCACTGGGTTTGATCCTCAGCACCACATAAAAATGAATAAACAAATTAAAGATATTGTACCTGTCTATAACTAAAAAAAATATTTTTTAAAAAATTACACTGAATCCCATAAGTACATATAATTACTGTCAATTAAAATTCAAAGTGTATTTTGGAAAGGAAAGTATAGGCTATGAATTATATACATAGTCACTAACATTTAGGGGAGCTTGTGTTGTCCATTAATGTATGATCTACTATTGGATTGTTTAAATTTGTATGTCATAAAACTTCATATTGTATCCCACTAAATAAAATGTATATTTTTGAAGCAGGGGGATGAATTTATGGCACATGTCTGGGAGATTGTATGTAAACAACAATAAGTTGATAAAAGAACATCATAAAATAATGTATTTTTTCAAAAGAAAAAGAAAAAATTATGGAAAAAAAATGAAACTCAAAACAAAAGCAGAAATAGGCTAACTGAGGGGAATGGCCCAAGAATAAAAAGATAGTTAAAAAAGAAAAATATGTTATCTCTTCAGAGAGCTGTAAGAAGTCTTAAATTTTGTATAGATAGTATTTTTCTCAGAAAATTAATGACCTTAATCCTACTTTTCTCTTTGATACCTGGTGCAGCAAGGACAAATTAACTTAACCTGAACTGTAGAACCTCATATAAAGTATTCTAGGACAACTTTAGGATAGTTTGCTTTGTATTTGTTCAAAATGTATAATTCTAAGCATCACAAAGGAAATTCTAGTAAACATACATTCTTTAGCATGAAGCTCTAATTACTCTCCATAACCATAACAGGGAAAATTCTACCCAATATTGCTACAGAAAAATTACATCTACCAAGTCTTTTGGAATTTTCTATTGCTTCTTGTTGAGGCAATACTTGTTTTGAACATGGTCAGATTATTCTGGAAGACAGCATTGTGAAGTAGGATGCTCATTGGGGATCGGACCAAGGTTCAAATATAGCTTTGCTGCTTACTTTTGAGGCCTTGACCAACTGACTGGACTTCCATGAACCTCGTTTTACTCACCTATGTTTGGGCACACTACTACCATCCTGAAAATTAGGGTTGTTGGAGCATAGTAGCTTTTTTGTTTTTTTATAAATTGATTTTATTTTTTAAATACATGACCGTGGAATGCATTAAAATTATTATTACACATATAGAGCACATTTTTCATATCTCTGTTTGTATATAAAGTATGTTCACACCATTTAATGTCTTCATACATGTACTTTGGATAATGATGTCCATCATATTCCACCATCATTGCTAACCCCCTCTCTTCCCTTCCAAACTGTCTGCCCTATCTAGAGTTCGTCTGTTCCTCCCATGCTCCCCCTCCCTACCCCACTAAGAGTCAGTCACCTTATATCAGAGAAAACATTCCGCATTTGTCTTTTTGGGATTGGCTAACTTCACTTAGAATTATCTTCTCTAACTCCATCCATTTATCTGCAAATGCCATGATTTTATTGCTGAGTAATATTACATTGTGTATATATGCCACATTTTTTTTAATCCATTCCTCTAATGAAGGGCATTTAGGTTGGTTTCACAGTTTAGCTATTGTGAATTGTGCTGTTATAAACATTGATGTGGCTGTGTTCCCGTATTATGCTGTTTTTAAGTCCTTTGGGTATAGACCGAGAAGTGAGATAGCTGGGTCAAATGGTGGTTCCATTGCAAGTTTTCCAAGGACTCTCCATACTGCTTTCCATATTGGCTGAACCAATTTGCAGTCCCACCAGCAATGTATGAGTGTGCCTTTTCCCCCACATCCTCGCCAGCCTAGTAGGTTTTAAGTTAGCACCTTATCTCAAATTCAGAGGAACTCAGCATAGCATGTTCCAGGTTATGAGGCTGTAACTACTCCTCTCTGGCATCAAATTACATACAAATCACAGGCCATCTTGTAGACAAACCTTTCCATGCCACATGGTTGTGATGTGCTTATCCAGGTGTCACCTTCAGAGCCAGGGAGAGAGTGGTAAAGCTTAAGCACAACTTTGCTTAAAAGTAAACAAATGTACTCCTGGCTCAGGTTGTCTGATTTGTCACCATTAACAAATTCCTGACTTGTTTTCTCTTGAGAGGGGCCCCTTATGCTCTTTTAACTTTCCCTTTCTCTTGCCCTCAAATAAACAAAACAAAGCAAAGCCTCCTAAAATAGATGGAAGAAATGATATAATGCTCTTTATGACTCTAATCCAGTGATATATGACTTTAAATAGTAATTGTTTTTACTCATAAATTATTAGGCCATGCCAGAAATGACACATATAAACATTGTTATAATGGTTCGTTATTATGTAGTAGATTAGCAGTTCCTGCTCCACACTTTGATAATATCCATCTTCACTAACCTGTCAAGAACATTAGTAAAATCTCCCATCTGTTTCTTAGTTCAGGACTTTATCCTATAAGTGCAAATCCTGCACAGCACTAGCACAAGATTGTGTGGGATGGAAAACCTGGTAGTGATTTGCAGAGAGTAAGTAATATTCCAGAAAGATTTCCTTAGTCTCATAGTCTTAGATTAAATACTTTAAAATACTTTAGATTTAGTTCTTTAAATATTCTTTTTGGTCCTTTTCTGGATAATATGGGGACCCTAAAGATGTAGGACACTAGCAAGTATTTATTAAAACCTTGGGACTAGGCATGAAATACAGAAGCACTATCACTATAGTGCTTGGCTTCTGTCTCAGAGTGCTGTCCTCTCAGAATTCTGTCCTCTGTCTTGTTCTGCAGATGTTTTTTTTTATTGAGGTTGTTCCTCCACAGATGTACACCATGTACACTTTGTTCCTTCACAGATGTACACATTTAATTTATGTAAGTCAAGTCACATAGACATAGATGGCATTTGCACCTGTTTTCATACCCATTGGTTTTACCTACATAAGTTAAATTCGATGTAAGATAAGAGGAATTCCTTATAGCCACAACTTATGATGAGCAAATAAGTAGGATCCAAATTGCTGCAATTCTTTGGTGTGACAGATGGAACAAAGAAAGTATTCCTCTGAAATCCAAGTTTGGGTGATCTTAACTAAATGCAGTTCAGGAACAAGTAGGGGATACTTCATGCCTCTTCTACTGTCCCCTAATTGCCAACCACCTTGTTTGACCCCAGAAAATCTGGGGTCTGTTGATTCTGTTGTCATTGGGAAAAAAAATTCTGGTGGAAGTGACAAAAATTTGAAGGTATGATGGGGTGTAAGGAGGATTATAAGACTCAAAGAACATTTCTAACAGGCCATGAAAATGAAAAAGGAAGAAACATACCTTTCCTTTTGCAGTCCAGCGTTTGTATGGGAAACACATAATTGTAGCACAGAGTTGAGTCTGCCTCAGGCCTGATGACTGGGGGTCTCCCTGATACTTGGGGTTTTGGGTCCAATTGCTCCTTTTCTTCTTCATTACACAACTGTTCAGATTTTAGCTGCAGCAATTTTTTATTTTTTAGTTCATGTGGGCTTGCGCACTTGGCATAGTTTCCCAAATTTCGGTTCTTTGGAATCTGCAACATTGAAATGAGGGTTTCTAACTCACAAGTACAGTGCCAGGGGTTGTCATAGAGTCGCAGGTAGCTCAGGAGAGGCATATATATGAACACCTCCTCTTTCAAGACTTTGATCTTGTTGTGCTGTAGTAAAAGGGTGGTAAGTTTGTTTAAGCCAAAGAAGGCTTCACTCTCAATTTTGGAGATCTCATTCTGTTGCAGGTCCAGGCTTTTCAGGTTTTTAAATTTGGAAAACATGTTGTTTTTCAATATGCGGATCTTGTTTCTTGCTAAAAGCATGTGCAGCAAATCTTGAGGCCAGGTAGGTAGCACATAAACTAATTTTCTTTCTTGACAGTCTAAATATTTCTCATGGAGATATGTGTACACATCACAGGGGAGACCTGGTGCGTAGCGCTTTACTGGGTTGGAGCTTCTCCGGCTCCCACCTGCCCGGCCATGATTTGTTCGACTTCTTACACTGCCAGGGCTTCCCTTGCGCAGCTCAGCAGCTTTGCAAAAGCAAAGCAATATTACAATAGTAACCACGCGCATCCTGACATCCAGCTGGCCCCAATTCTTTGGTGTGACAGATGGAACAAAGAAAGTATTCCTTTGAAATCCAAGTTTGGGTAATCTTAACTAAATGCAGTTCAGGAACAATGAGACACAGCTGGGAGATTCAGAGTTCCTAGATTGGAATAGAAAAACACATTAAAAGTTAAAAATCATTGCAAATATTGTGTGTGACTGAAATAGCAGTCTTTTTTAAGCAAACACCTTCCTGGTTTAGAAAGGCGTTTTCAAATCAGTGGTATAGAAGGCTCGACATTCTCTTCCTTACCTTGTTTAGTGTTCAAATGTTTGGGCCCTCAGTTTAAATTAAGGCTCTTCTACCTGCTTGATTATGTGATGCTCAGCTAGTTATTTAACCTTATCTTCATCATCTGTAAAATGGGACCAAAGATCCCTCCTAATGTGGTGGGGAGAATGAAAGGGGCTCATGCATTGTAAAGTACTTTAGAATACCCAGCCCAGGGAATGTCCTGCACAAATGTCAGGACTTGGAATGATGAAAAGTGAAACTTGTAGGAAATTAAAGGAATTCTCCTTATATCCTTGAAATTTGCAAAAAAGAGTAAGATTCTAATGGCTGTGCTTCTTTCCTTTACTGTCTTCAATCCCCAGTCATATTGAGTATGGCTTCAGAAATGCTCAGAGTAAATGGCATTGTCCTTGTGATCTCCTGGGTTCAAATGCCACCTGCTAACTGAAGCCTTCTCTTTCAGCCCTATTTAGACTTGCACCACCCCTCCTTCCTTCAAATCAACTTTCTTGTTTTATTTTTCTCCATCAGCATCTGTCACTGTAAATATTTGATTTCTTTTGTTTATTGCCTCCCTTAACTAGTAAATAAACTTCCTAACAGTAAGGCTGTTTGTCTATTCTGCTCATTACTGTATTTCTTCAATATATATATGTTGAAAGTATGAATTACTTTCATATAACTATTCTGTAAGAATATTTATCTCATAAACTACCATGTTGTTTGGGGAATCTCGTTTTTTCTTAAGTTTTACTGGGTGGACTTCCATGATCTGAACATTTTTAAGCATTGTTTTTATTTCACAATTCTGTGGGGCTGAGGTTATGGCTCAGCGGTAGAGCGCTTGCCTAGCATGGGTGAGACCCTAGGTGATTTGATCCTCAGTACCACATAAAAATAAATAAGTAAAATTAAAGGTATTGTGTCCAACTACAACTAAAAAATAAATATTAAAAAAACAGTTCTAAAAATATTTCTGATTGGCATTTATCACTTAGGATAAAGTCCACTCTTGGTAAAGGAAGAAATGTTCAAATGGATTTATAACTAATAACACGTCCATTGTTAGTAGCATGGGACTATGTGGTTATGAGTGACGGATGTGCTTTCTATTCATTGTAGCATTTTGATGTTAGTATCACCCCTTGCCTGGAGTTTTCCTGCTTCATGGGGTCTCCTCCACCTTGAATGCCTTTCATCCTCTTCTTAAGCATTCTCCCCATTCACTGGTCTGTGTATCCTCCCTAGCTGCTTTCAAGACACAGATTGTGAAACACTTCGCTGTCTAGCTATTTGTGTGTGTGTCTTTTTGTTTTGTTTATATTTACTTCTTTTTCTCCCTAATGCTGGGGATCACTCTACCTCTGAGCTATACCCCCAGCACATATGATTGGTTTTATTTTTTTTATTGGTGCATTGTAATCATCCATAATAGTGGGATTAATTGAATACTCACATCTTATGTTCTCTAAGAAAGCATAAACTGTGCAGTGGCCTCTGGACCTAGAGTTAATCTAATCAGGCATTTAGTCTTTCCAACCTTCCACTTCTCTGTCTGCAATTCATTGTGAATTGTATGTAAACCTAAACTAAACAAACACAGCAAATTTTTTGTTTGTTATTATGCATGTTAAATAATATTATGCATGCTGATGTCTGCAATTTCCTTTAAATGTGTACAAGAATAAGATGGAATGAGGAGTGGATTGAGAGATGGATGGGTGTATGTAATAAAGAAAACGCAGTAAGATATAAATTATAATCTAGATAGTTATAAGTCCTCATTATGCAACTATTTCAATTATTGTGTTTGAAATTTTTCATAATGTTAAAAGAAAAAAAATGAATAAAAACCCATGCACAAAAAGCAAGTATGTTTTCTTCAAGTGTTCTAAACTAAAAGCTTTTTAAGTATTTAGTGTTTTTCCCTAAGTTATATTTTTCTCTTCTTCCCTTCCTTTGGTAAGCCTCAAACAGTAATAAACATGTGTATATATTTTGTATTTGAAGCCAAAAGAAATCGTTTTTCTGGGAAAAGACACTCATATACTTAGAACACATGATTTCCAAGGTTTCTGTTTGTTTTCTAATGAATGCATCACATTGAATGTAGGATGGAAAAACTTCCAAAGTTCTATTTAAAATGTTAAATTTTTATTTAAACATTTAAAAGCTTAAACATCTGTAATATGTTGTTTAGTAATGTGTAACTTGTTTGATTTTAGGCCACTGTAGAAACTTGCAAGAGTTGAATGTCTCTGACTGTTCAACACTCACCGTGAGTATGAGCAGCTTATTCACTGTTGTTTATATTGTGCTTGTTGAATTGGAGAGCCAATATGCAGAGTGCATGGCTGTATGTGCATTGGGGATTGAAAGTGGAAAAAAGCAAACTCTATTAAACTTTGGCAAGAAATTTTACTTCATCTGTACAAGGCTATTATTAATCTTGTAGATGGATGCCCAATGTTGGAGCGTCTGGCAAGTGGAAACTCTTTAATGATTACATAAAAATAAGCTGTGTTTCATGCATATGTGTATGAAGCAGAAAAAAAAAACTGGGCCCCAGGAGAGATGATACACTCATCATAGCAGTTTTCATGACTATCAACAGTCATATCAACAGTAGTGCCGAATATAGAAAAGAACATGTATATTCCTGTCCCCAGTCTTTTCCTCTACTCCCAATTTGTCTTCCATGTTATGAGCACACAATTCTCTTCTAAAAGGCAGATCTGACCACTTCACTTACATCTTCCATCAACTGCACCCTCCTGTTATCTACACTGTTGGATAAGTCAGAGTTCTTTAACATTATAATACCTTGGAGACCCTATGTGTTCTTGCTCTGCCTCTGTTTTCAACCTATCTTGCTCCAGTCCCATGTACACATTAAGAGTCTGTGTGATCCCAAGCCTCTGTTTGAGCTTTCCTTGCTAAATGCTCCAAGTTGCTCTTTGCAGTTTCTCATTTGCTAACCCTATGTTCTTTGCTTGGAATGCCCTTTGCCTTTGTCTTCAAGTGGCACTTTTCTCTTTGACAGGGTTTAAAGTTAATTTTACACATCACCTCCTCTACCAAGATATTACTGGCTCCCAGGGCAGGGTTCACTGCTGATCCTCTGGGTTCCTGAAATAAGTAGTTCTAACCTAGTGTTTATGCCTACTCCAAGGGGCAGGGGAAGTGCCTTATTCTTAGTGATAGTCACAAGCACACAGCGCTGACTTTGATTTCTAATAAATATCCAGTGATGTTTAATAAATGCTACTGTATGCAGATGCCTAGTAGGTAATGATCAACATTAGCCAAAACTTGAGATTCCATCTCTGGTGTACATTTATGTATAAATCTTAAGTAACATTATAAGAGTAAGATCAACCTAAAGAGAAGGTATGAGAAGAGAAGAGGACTTAGAATTGAGCCATGGGGAACCGTGACTTTTAGTGCAGGCAGAATATAATAAGAAGGAATAATAAGAGAAGAAGGTTGAAAATGGAGGTGTATCATAAAGTGAACAAGAGTGAGGAGTATCAGAAAAAAGAGGCCAAAATGAGCAGATAAGGAAAGGACTCAGTGTCATCTCCTGGATTTGAGAGTTAGAAAGTGACTGGTGATTTTTGCTGAAGCAACTTCAGGGGAATATTGGAACAGAAATATAATTATAGCAAAGTGGACAGGAGGTGAGAAAGTAAGGCATTTATCATAAACTGTTCTTTCTAGAAAAGTGATTAAGGTGGTAATAGAAGGAAAATAGGGGCAGGAGAATGGAAACAGGTTTATAGAAGCTGGTGGAAATTCTCCTGAAGCAACCAATGGAGCAAGTCTTTGAGGAGACAGGAGGGCAGAGAATGAAGAGCCTGAGTCTCCTCATTGTGCACAACTCAGGATGAGAGCCAAGTCCCTTGGCACAGGTGAAAAGACTTCATGACGTGGCCTTTTCCTGCTACCCCAGCCTCCTCTTTACAGTTCTTCCTTTCAGATTTCTACTCAAATTTCAATCCTGAATCATCTGAAGTTCCCTGAACATGTCATACTATTTCATTTAATCCTTGAATTCATTTTCTATCTGCCTGAAAGAGTACTCTACTACCCCCATCCTAACCCCAACCTAACTTGCTCATCTTTTAAAGTACTCTCTGTTGGGTCTTTCCCTTTACTTAGAAAAACAACAACAACAACAACAACAAACCATCATGGAGGGCTGGGGATATAGCTCAGTTGGTAGAGTGCTTGTCTCACATGCACAAGATCTTGGGTTCAATCTCCAGCACCAAAAAAAAAAAAAAAAAAAAACAAAAAAACCACATTATGGAGATATTAATAAATTTATATTGATATCAGTATTAAATTTACCCCAAATGTACAATTTAATAGTTTTTGGTATATTCAGAATTGTGGAATAGTTACTATAACCAATTTCAGGGCATTTTCCTCACCCCTGAAAGAACCCACACACATTAACAGTCACTCCTAATTTTCTCCCAACCTCCCACCCCATGCAATGCCATTCAGTTTTTGACAGGATAAATTTGCCCCTCTCCTGAGTTGCATTTTTGGTCTCAGTACTTCAGCATTTATACTTTTTACTCTATTCAACTTAGTTTTATATATATCCTCTTTTAGAACTGAGAACTCTTTGAAATTCTCCTTCAGTGTTTTTTCCATGAAATTCACCTCCCATTTTTACAGCAAAATATTTTTTCAAAGGAAGGAAGACATTATTTGAATAAATAAAATGTGTACATAAAAATATTAAAACCCCCAGAACTCTTGCACTTCTTACCATGATACACAAATCAAGCATTTATATTAGTTGTTTAGTTTCTGTCTATCAGACCACAGAGAATCTCTCTAGATGAAGTTAGCTAAGTATCTTTTTCAATGGCTTATAATTTAATGTAAAAATACTGCTTCTTCATGTTCAAAAGTGCCCCCAAGAAATGGAGGGATAGACATGTGATAGACAGATAATGTCAGAGGAAAAAAAATTCTATTTTTTCCATACTTTTCCTCCACCAGCAAAGTGAACGTAGGCACCTTTGTTGGGAGATTTTAAATCTTTGCAGACATTCTCCAGATGTCTGCCTGTGGTTTTAACGAGATTGTTTGTACAATGAATTTGTTTTCTCTAAGGGTATACATTACACCTACTATGTTAAAGACATCCAGCTAAGTTTTAGAGGGATTTTTTAAAAAATCAACTTTTAATTCTTGCCCTCTGGGAGCTTCAGTTCTGCACATGACTAAAAAAGATCATATTCTTTGAATTTGGCTTTCTAATAGGAAAGTTAGAACACAATGACTTCTGCATTGAATTTATTAACATCAAAGTCGTGTCCAATTTTGGAGTCTATAAAGGGTTGATAATTTTGTCCAGCTACATTTTACTATTTTTTTTTTCTTGGAGACATAGACTGGAAGAAAGGCTTACATTTAAGGAGTTGGGTAACATTCATGCACAGAGCTTTGATTTCCAAGCTTGTCTTATGAAATACATTACATTCAGAAGGATTTGAGTATTGTACTTTGTGGACAAATTCATAAGCTATTCTGCAATGTATGCACTCACACATTTTTGCATTTATGTGTTCAAACATTTGGTGTCTGAGTTTTGAGCTCTTTTAATGGGAATGGGAGTGGTCTGAACTTGCTTGGATGTCCAAGTGCCTCCAGACAGAAAAATGCAGAAAATGGATTACCTCCTCAACTCAAGGGAAAGTCCGATTCCTCTATGGTACATAAGCACACACTGTCCTCCTCCTGATCCTCACATTTTCATTCTCAGTGGCTGTCCTTCTAAAGATGATAAGCAAACTTTCTCACCTCTTCTTGTCCCATCTTGTTTTCATTTAAAAAATTTTTTTTTGATATTTTATTTTTTAGTTGTAGTTGGACATAATACCTTTATTTTATTTATTTATTTTTATGTGATGCCGAGGATTGAACCCAGGGACTCGCATGTGCTAGGCAAGCGCTCCACTGCTGAGCCACAACCCCAGCTCTCTTGTTTGCATTTTAACCAATGTCTTTCAACAAGTGCATAAACACTTTGATTTTTGATTGGTTCACTGAACATTTTGTGTATATTCAAGTATAGTGCCACACATTATGGTTGTTTACCATTCATCTAATTTTATAAATTTCAGTTTAGGGCTTGAAATCTCTGTTTTTCTGTCTCTTTCATTTTACAGTCACACCATTCACTTACCATTTCAATCTTCTGGGGGAAGATTGCTTGAAACTTCGAGATTCTCCCCAACCTTCTCCGGCACTCAATTTCATGCCCACCTTATGCAGAGTCTATATTTTCTTTCAGGTTATCTCAAACTTACTATAAATTTGGTGAAAGTCAGTCCAGCCATTTTAATATGTTCAGTATTACAACCACAGAAACTTTACTACACACACACAAAAAAAAAATGTATGTAAATATGGACTAATTTTTAATAAAGCCCAGCTGAGAGGGTTTACTATTCTCATCTTTCAGAATAATTTTATTAAATTATTAAATGGGTCCGTTTTTAATCACTTTTCTGCATGTGAAAAGTCAAGAGCATTTGACATTTGTGTTCAAATTTCTTGTCACAGAATAGAACTTGCAAGGCTTAACCTTTTAATGAAGTGTCTTTGTGATGGATTGGGACTTTCTCAAGAAAGGGAAAAGAAGGGAGTAATGAAGCTTCAAGCAAAACCATTAGTTTCTATTTAATTTAATTTAAACTGATACCAATGAATATGAAGACACTAAGTCTTGCATGTATTTTTCCTGGGGCAGGAAGAGAAGTGATAGATAAGGGAGAAATTGCCAAGCCCGTTAGGGTTTTCATAAGATTCTTCCCTTTGTTTTTTATACAGGATGAAGCAATGAGACACATTTCCGAAGGCTGTCATGGGGTCCTGTATCTTAATCTATCTAACACAAGTATCACTAATAAGACGATGAGACTCCTGCCAAAGTAATGTTTGTGTTGTTTGTATTATCCTCCCCCCGGGCCCAGATTGTTTTGGCATTCCCCAAAAGCAGTGCTCCCTTTACCAACACCTCACTGAAGTGGCACTGCTGTTTTGCTAAGGGACTTCTGCTTTCAAGTCCCCAAGCTGGTGACAGCAATCTTCTCGCTTGGCAGATGCAGTTTGATCAGGGGTATTCTGTCCTGGCCAGTGGTTTTGTCCCTTTTTATAGCAAGGTGCCCAATAGCTTGAATTTGACCTCACCTAGCTCTTTTTGGTCACCCTTTCTGAACAATGAACGTTGGCCCCCAATTCCAGTCTGGTATTGGGAACTCTCTATAATACAACCTAACATCCTGCCTCCCTAGACTTTGAGCACCACTGTCCCAGGTTCCCTGTGCTCTGGCTACCTCTTCAAACCTGAATCTGACAGTTGGTTTTTGACTGTGAACTATTGACATCCCTGGGCATGAAATGTCGCTTCTCCTCAGCCAGCATTTCTTTGGATGAGAAGAGACAGAATAACATAAGAGTTGACAGAGTATTCAAACTTACTACAAATTAATGCCACTCATTATTCTTTATTTGTATTATGGAAAGAAAAATTAGGAAGAGTATACAGCCCCTGGGAGACATTCAAATTTGACTTTGAGAAACATTTCTTAAACTATTGTGAAAGAATAAACTATTTTAGAGCATATAACTTTTTGAGATTCTTTGAAAAACAGCAATGAGACATTTGGAAAAGCTTAGAGAAAATTCTGGGTGGTAATTTTTTTTTTTTTTTATCTTCTGACTGTAACCATTTTCCACAAATAAGCAAACCCCCGAAAAAGTGCCACCATATTTTCCATTTATCCCGTTAATTGAATTACCATGTTTTATTTAGTCAAATCTACGGAAACTTCCCTTTGAATTTTCTCCTAGTACTTTAAACATAGTCTTCCCTTTTCTAGGCATTTCATATACATTTACTTGTTTTGTTTTTTACTCAAATGTGTAATGAATCTAGAACTTATATTATTAGTAAATGAATGAAGCAGATGTTTTGAATCAGGGGTCAACATATATGTTCATATGGCTCAAGGCCTGCTTTTGTATGTAAAAGTGTAAAATTCTTGGTCCATAAGCCAAGAATAGTTTTACACTTTAAGTACTAAATAGCTAATCAGTAATCCAGCCTCATTTATTGACTATGAAGTGGTATCTGGTTCTTCCTTATATACCTAAAACTCTTTTGCAGGCAATAAATTTTTAAAACTCATCCTTTTCTAATATTTAATCTCATATTACATTATGGCCTTGAAGTTGTTGATGTCCATTGTGTCTCTGATGAAAATCCTTTGGAGTGGTATACTGTCATACAGCCCTTTCCATCTCCATGTTTAGTGACTTCTTGTTGATAGCTTGCAATTATTAGTTAATTGGGAGTAATCCACACCATGGAAAATGACAAAATTACAAATCAGTTCTTGATTTATTGTTTCGCCATTGCTTATATTTGAGAATGGGACAGAAAACAACAATTAATAAAAGCAGATTAAATTTAACAGTGTGTCAGGTCTGTAGTAACAATATTGTAAATAACAAAAAATGGAGGAAATACTTATTTCAGTACTTTAAAATTATTAACTGATTCAGCAAAGCCACTACTCATGTCATTGATGGATGAGTGAAGTATGGACAGATATCTTTGTCTAATCCTTAATGTAAATAAATGTACTATAATCCATATGGAGCTAAGTTCATTCCTTGATTGCAACTATTGGTGGGTTGGCTCCATTTGTAAGAGTTTGGTAAAAGTCAGTGAAAGAATCAGTAGTATGTGTGAGAATCAATTAGCCATATGGAATCGACAAAAAAAAAGAATTGTGTTTTATTATTATTTGTAAATTGTGTGTTATTCAACCTTTATAAGATAAGTAAGATATAAAATTTTATAATAAACTTAAATGTATTTATATGCATTTATTTTGGGAGAGCCAGCTGTTTTGTTTACCAAATGAAATAAATTAAACAGATAATTAAATATAAACCAGAAACTGATTTATATTTTTATAATATTTAGTTTTCCTATCAGGAACATAGTTTATTATTATTTTTTCAAAATTCTTAAGTCTCTCAATACAATTTTATTTGTTTACATAGGTTTTATTTTGCATGAAAATTATTCTTAAGAGTCTTTTAAATTGTTATTGAGAATGGTAGTCTTTCTGATTATATTTTCCAAATGGTCACTTTTGAACTTCAATATGAGATGCAGGTATTTTTTAAACTTTTTATTTAATTGATTTCTTTCCTTTTAAAAGAAAATGATCAGGGCTATAAAATTATTTCTATATAAATATACAAAATTATATAAAAATAAAGATAAATATATAAAATTATTTATAAATAAGATTTTGGGCAAAGCCCACAAGATTTGGTAAATATTATTTTCATTTTCTAAACAAACTAGTCTATATTTGCTTTCCTCTTTGACCCAAAAATTATTTAGAAGAGAATTTTTGGTCTAAGTGGTTGACATTTCTTTGATTAAGGTTCTGTTTTTAATTATGCACTGTAGTCAAGAAATGTGGACTGAATTATTTCTACTTTTTAGAATTTATTGAGATTTCTTGGTGGACTAGTTATAATCAATTTCAACAAATCATCTATGAATGTTTAAGATAGTTTCTTTTTGAGAACAAAATTCCGTGTATATGTGTGCATATATACAGATACCTTCTTGATATGACATGGTAGAATAGTGATATATTAGTGGCTTATTACAGTCAACCTTCTAAATTTATTTTGATGTTATTTTATTTATTAAGATTCATAAGTATCACATTTCAATATAGATTATAGCTTTTATTCACACGAAGTGATATTCTTTTTCCTGGTTGTTTCTTTGTCATGAATTCTTTTAAATCTACTATTAAATAGTCACCTTTGTTTCCTTTCACTTGTCCTTTTTGTGGAAAAACTGTATATATTCCCATATTTTTAACTTTTGTGTTATTGGGTTATAGATTTGTTTCTTATATGCAGCACATAGTTAACATTGCATTTAAAAAATTTTTCCTCTTTGCCTTTTAAAGAAGACAGTTTAAAAGATTAATATTCTTGTAAAAATTGAGTGTGAGGTCTTTTACCATCTTTTTTTGATTTTTCTATTACTGCACTGTACTCAGTGTTTCTATATCTACTTTTAAAACAAAAGTGTTTAAAAGGTATTATACATTCTGTTAATCATGACTTTTGCTAATCACTTAACTTTTAATATTGATTTTTAGTGTTTTACATTTAATATCATAATCATAATTACAATTACTATGTAACCCCAACAAGTTAGGCCATTTATTGGAACTGCTCTTCTCCCACAGATTCCTTATTCTTTAGTTCTTATTTTTGATTCATCCTATGATGACCAGAGATATAATTTTAAAAACTCTTTTCTTAGGAAAGATGCATGATTGTTAGAATTTCAGCCATTGATCTCTGAAAAATGACTGTTATCTTAGAAGATAAACAACAACTTCTCCTGGTATATGATTATTCAATCATATCCCTTATTTTATATTTAAAACTCTTAGGTGTTGCTCTATAAACCTTGATGTTTCAGATGAAAGAGAAGTCTAAAAGCCAGCATGATTTTTTTTGTTAGAGAAGGCAAGCAGAGGGCCAGAATTAAGGGCCCTCCTTTGTAACTTATTTTTTTCTACCAAGATGTTTCCAAGAGTTTCTTTTTCTGTGAGAAATTAAAGACATTTTCCAAGCTTAATTGTGTTCTTTTAATTAATTTTTCCTGGAACATGGTAAACTTTTTGAACATTAAAACTTGAACTTTTTTTCTCAGCCCAAGAAGACAAAATTCTCTTTAATGCTTCTATTCATTTGTTCAAGGTTCATCTTAAGAATCCCCTTTTATTTTTATATTTATTCCTGTTCTTCGAAGCTGCCATATTTTTTCTCACAATTTTTGTCTATCTATGTAGTTCATTGCATACTGCTTTTTCTATATCAGTAATTCTTAAAGTACATGCCAAAGACAGCGTGTTCAGGCAAATATTTAAATCCTGGATGGGGTGGTGGGTAGAAGGTTGTACTGATTTCTGTGGCATAAATTTTAAGCCATAACAAGATGTCATTTAATGTAAACTTGGGAGATGTTAAAGTTCAACTGGAGCTGGCACAAGCCAGCTCCAATAACATCACTGTGGGAGGCTCCCCATGAGGATCCCCAAGACCCTTGCAGAAGTTTTTTAAGGTCCTCTATCTAATCCTTTGATTTAGAATTTCATTCAGGACTTTTCTTTAGACATTCCATACTAAAGTATATAAATATAATTACGTATATGTATATATGAATCTCTGTTTCTCTACCTGAATATATGTGTTAATATGTATATAAATTATTTCTACTTTTTTATATTTTATTCAGATTTCTACGTAGAATAGTTTAGTAACGGTACATACATAATAGAATAGAGAGAGAGAGAAGGAAGAAGAGAGAGAGATACAGACAGAAAGAATATTATAAAATCCATATATGAAAAACTGAATTTAGAAAGTAGATGATTTGAGAGTGGTTTATATCACATTACAAATTAAGTTCTATTCAACTTAAAAATATTTCTCCAATCATATATTTAGATAACTTTTTTCTCTTAGGGAAATTTAATATAATATTCTAGCTATGCATAACTCCTTAGGGATGTTTGTTTTACAAATAAAACTATACTTTATTGGGCAATAGTTAGAAAATAAGAATTTTATTTAACTTCTAGTTCTTGCCATTAAAAGAATGTTATGCAAAATAAATGCTTCTTAATACTGATTTTTTTTGGTCATATGGAAAAAATATACACTGACTTATCTATGACAAAAATATATTTCGTAATGATTTTCTATTTTTTGCTGTTTTCCATTGTTTCAAATGTGCTTGGATATGCAAAAGTGTTCTTTAAACTATAAATAACCAGAGAAATGGTGGTTGTTGCTGCTGTCATTCTCTTTTCATGCCTTTAGTACTTCTTTCCAAAGAAATCATTTGCCAGAGGAAAAATATAATTTGTTTGGCCTTTTTGGCCACACTGATTTGTCATCTTTTATTTGAATTTTTTGCCTCACTTCTTTGGAGACTTGCTTAATTTTCTAAAGTTGAAACTGAGGGCTGCCCACAGTCCATGCCCATTTCAGGAAATTTTCCCCCTCTATTATTTCCTGAATTCAACCCTTTGTAGTCATTCCTGTTGTCACAACCTAGGTGGCACTCTCAGCTCCTTATTTGGCACAGCATCCTGCTGGTCCCACCTCCTGTTTTTCTTCCCTACAATCTGCCCTACTTTGTGCCCCAAGAAGGATCATACTAGAACACTCTTCTTATTGTGTCTACAACCTTCCTTAACTATCTCTTAACATTATCCAGTCAAACGAACCTGCCTAAGTTTTCCAAGAGAAGCCCTTAATTCTGGCCCTCTGCTTGCCTTCTCTATAGCTGGAAAACCTTTCTGCTTCTCTTTGCTAATCCTTAGCCTCAAGTCATGCCATCTGCCCGAAGTGCAGTGTTTTCTCCTCTCCCTGCATTCTAATAGCCATATTCATTCACTTATTCATCACATATTAACTAACTACTATGTACATATGGTTGGTAGTACAGTCATTATGATCTGTGTTCTCTGCACTCCCCATTCACCTTTTTTTTTCTTTCACTGTGTCAGCCATGCTGACCTCTAACTCCTGGGCTCAGGTAATCCTCCCACTTCAGCCTCCCAAGTAACTGGGACTATTGGCATGGACCACCATGGTTGGCTTGATCTTTGTCCCTTAATATGCTGTAGTGGAGTGGTGTCTAATTATTTTTCATATAGATGAATCGATCCTTTCTTTGGCTTGAAACTTATTGTCAGGGGTTATCATTTTTACATACCATTTCTTATTGTCAGGGATTATATAGAGTACCCATGAAAGTGGGGCAGACAGAGTAAGCCCTTGTCCTGTCTGAACAACCTCAAGTTCACCCTGTAAGAAAGAGTCTGTATCACTCTACTTAGATTTTCTGCAAAATTCTATTTCTTGAACCTGCCTCTGTGAAACTAAAGAGCCTAACACTCCACTCTAAAGAATCCACATGCAAATTATCTCTTTTACAAACTTGGTCTTGTCTTAGTGATTTTTAAGAGAACTTTTCATTAAAATACATAATTTTACATTCCTCAGGTATTAAAGATTTAAAGTCAAAACACTTCAATTCTTCATAGGAAACAAAGCCAGAAGAAAGGAGGAAAAAAATAATCTCTGTAGTTTCTACAAGAATTGTAGTTTATTACATATAGTTGTAGCAGAAAAATAAATAAACCACAAAGAGAAAACCCATCCCCCAATATGAAAAACTTAAGTTATTGAATAATTAGGAAAAGATTTTAAAAGATTGGAAACACTATGCCTCAAAACGAAGTTAGAGTTGTCAGATAGTCTCTGCTGGGAAAAATGTTGAACCAGACCTTACTCATGAAGGAGACATATTTCTTTGCCAAAATCCTTAATAAAAAGTATCACTATTGCATAAAATTTGCCAAGTGTGATTTCACTATTAACTGATATTTTTCCCATCTCCAGTAGCTTTAAGTATGCCACATGTAAATCCCTTGACAGCTGTATAGGGCCATTCTAGATTCCTGTACTTTGCTTGCACACTCAGGGTGGTTTTCATGAGGTTCCATTTTGAAGACAGCCATCCAAAGCCATTCAGCCTAGGAACTTATTTAGGAACTTATCTTTTTTCTAAACTGGAGATTTTCAACCTGGGGTCAGTGAACCCCCCCGCCCCCAGAGGATCAGGGATGAAATTTACAGGGTCCATGTATTTTGAAGGGGGGTGGGGAATTCTCTCTTATTTTCATTAATCTCAAACTGAAATGTAGATTAAAAAAATCAGAGTAGTATTAGCAGCTCTTGGGACTTTTTTTCCCCACATAAATGTAATACAGAAGAAAGGAGGAAAAAATACACTCTTCTCATGTTATAGTTGTTACACATATTTTGAAATACCACTGACACTCATCACTACCTCACAATCATAGTAGTTATTAGAACTACCACTAGCTCTTGTTATTTAATTTATTAATAAAGAAGCACATATATTACTGTTCTACCCATTTGGTTTTAAAAATGTTTTGATAATTAGATATTTCAATATAATTGGCTGCTTTTTAATCTTATGTATTTTGTTTTATGAATTAAAAAACATTATACTAAGAAAGAATCTTAGACCTCTCTAGACTGCCAATGGTGTCTATAACAACAACAACAAAAAGCCCCTTCAATTCTCATTTTTCTTACTTGTTAACTGATGACATGGATTTAAGTAAATAGAAAAATAGGCTTGGGCCAAGGTGTAGACTCAATGTGACATCCCCTAAACTGTTGAAATCATCTATAAGCACCACTCTTGTCAGATAAGTATCTATGCCATTAAATGGAAGAAACAGTACAAACTCCATAAAAACTTACTGTGTGGTTTTTATTTGGGGGTAGTAGTAGCAATCAAAACAATGCATATATTCTCAAAGCTTCTACAATGTCCCCACTGGTTTTAATTGTCAAAATCGCCCTCAAGCTACTACTATTACATTTGTGTTCTCATTTAATTGCATACTTCTAAAGGCAAAGAGAGGATGGGATTACGTTCTGTGTTACTGAGGGTGAGTAAAGCTTGTGGCCCCACAGTTGGTTAGGATAAAAAAAAAAAATTAGAGATGAAATTCTTATCACTACTTAGCAGACAGGGAAACAATCTCTGAGAGTTCAGTTGCAGAAAGTATCAGGGCTAGGACTGGAATCTAGTTTGGTCACATTCCACAATCTGGTATATTTTCCGTTGTGTGGCGCTGTCTACCTCACTACTCTTTTCTCCAAATCAGAGATCTGCAGGGTTGTTAGAAGTGACAAACCCCACCCCTATGTTCTTGACTTAGTTGAATCACAGAGTTGAAGGGAGAAGAAGAGAAAGTGGACTTTGGCCTCACTTTTAGTCCACTAGGGGCGGGCCCTTGGGGAGAGGGGCGAGTCTGCAGAGGGTAGCACTGTCTCAGTCTGGGCTTCCCTCTCTCCCTGGCGAAATCTCCTGTATACAACCATTCCTGGAGAAAAAAGTTATGAATCAAATAATTCTCTGTAGAATAGGAATCATTATAATATATAGATGTGTTTTTCAGATTTTAGAACTCTGATTAATAAATGGTCCATACTTTTATATCTTGTTTTCCATTTGGGGGAAGTAGATTTTATTAAATTAATTTGTAAGCTTTTAAGGGGCAGAGAGGCATTTTTCTCCCCACTTTCACATTTGCTGCTAAACTGTTGCAGATCATAAACCAAGAGCAAGTTGTTAATTCCATTACAAAAGCAGGCAGTAGTGGGAGTTCTTGCACTTCTAAAATACACAGAGTGTCCTCAAAATGTGAGCCCTTACACAGTAGTATAAGCTCATCCTAATTATTCTCCTTTTTTTCTGGAAGCTCTCATTTTGGTCAATGGGGTAATGCCATGTTTCATTTGCTTCAACTCTGTAAGATTGAGAGACTCTGATACAGTTTTTATCTTTTTTATGTATTGCCCACTCATTTGCAAGCTGTTCTTCTTAACCTATGTTTCAGTTCTGTGTAGCAATGTCTTTTTTTTACAATTTTTAACTGTAATAATAAAACTGTTACTTATAAAAGCATGCATATTTAAGTCTATGTCTATATTTTTCAAACCAATAACTTATCAGATCCATTTAAAGAGACTCTTATGTTCTGTTTTGCCTTCTTTCCCAAATCCTCACTCTCACAGAACAGTTCGAAGTTTGTCTTTGTAGACATTTTTTTTTCGTATTATTTTGTTGCTCCAAAGCTAAAACCTAAAAACAACAATAAAGCAAACCCTCACTTTTGGTTTCAAAAACAAACTAACTTCCAAACAATATGAATGCAATCCCCCTCCCCCACATTGCCCAAAAAAGCTTTATCCCAGTCAACTTTCTTAAAAATCTAGCCAAATATTTTTTTATTCAGTTCATTTAAAATGTAATTATGCATTATTTGCTATAAAGGTCTCCTTTAATTATAAGAAGAGAGTGAACTATAGAGTTAAACTGTTGAACCATCTGCAAGGAGAAAAAATTAATCTACAGTTTTAGTTCTCTTTGTCATAGTGGCTTAAGAAAGATGTGAGAGAGCAGCTGAAGTATAATTCTTTTCCTTCCTCTCTTTTCTCACTCTGTCTTTTCAGACACTTCCACAACTTACAGAATCTTAGTTTGGCTTATTGCCGAAAGTTCACGGACAAAGGTTTACAGTACCTGAATTTAGGGAATGGATGCCACAAGCTCATCTATCTGGACCTTTCCGGCTGCACCCAGGTTTGTCTTTTAGTCTTCTCTTTCCAGCAGCAGGCGATGTCCTCCGGAGCACAGGCTGCATCCAGCTCTCATGTTATACTAATGCTGTGCACGGTCCGCAGCACACTCTTCAGAGGTTTTAAATTACATGGCCACAGCTGCTTAAATTTTCCCCAGGATCACTACTATAGGCTCTTGGCTTCCTTCCACTAGAGTGTCACATCGACAAACAGGCAAAGCTCATTGGATGATGAAACAGACCTCTTCTGTGGAGATACTCTGAACACAATTCTAAGACCAGAGTCCAAATCTTGAAAACTTAAAGTTGCTACTCAGATACAAACAAAGGAAAACCTTTGGGTGAGAATTTGCACAGAATTCCTGAAAAGCTAATAAACTCCAGCAGTTTTTTATTTGTTTGGTGGGGGGTGGGGGGGGTAAAATCCCACAGGGGATGCATGTGAGGAAGGAAATGTAACAATTGCAATTTTAAAAATTGCATTACATTCTTGGGTTCTACGTGGAAAAATATTTTAAGTTTGAGGAAACAGGGTTAGGAATGTTGGGCAGAAAGTAGGGTAAAGTTGTGGAGAACGGACCACGTGCTCTGGAAATAGTTAATGCATCATTGTTAGTTTCTTCTGCTCTAATTTTGATAGATCTAAGCCATAATTTTTTAACTTATTTTCTCCCTGTGTGTTTTCTTGGTATTGGTATCGTAGTCTGTTTCTTATTCCATATGAACAACATAATAGCACAGGTAAGAACTAGCTGAGATATTGATGTCTACCATTTATTGAGTTGTTACTATATGTCAGGCACTGGGTTGAGTGCTATACAGATAAGATTTCCTCCTCGTAGAATGTGGCGAAGTTTGTATTTATTATTTCTACTTATAAATGGAGTGGTTGACTAACCTAAGGTTGCACAGCTGGTGAAAGCTCATGACACTGGTACAATTACAAACAACTTTGGTGGATACCAAGCAGGCAGACCATGGTTTCTTGATATATTGGATATAGGGGAAAGGAGGGGATGATATTAAACTAGTATTAAGAATGTCTAGATTAATTTTCTCTAAAACTTGTCCACTGATGTGTAGCTTGCTAAGTGTCAACATAGACCACACTTGACTACCAGCTTGGCTGAATTTGAGACAGTCTTCTTTCTGACCTCCTTTTTCTTAGAGCATTCCCTTTAGAAAACTTGAAATTGTAAGAATTTGAAAGAATGACATTCTTTCTCTGCCTGTTTTGAGATGTAAATCTTTTTTACAAGCAAGAAACATCTTGCTTTTAAAAAAGCAAGGACTTGGGAGCACTCCCTTTGATAGATAATCATCAAAGAAGATAGTACCCTATCTTCCAGTTTCTGTGGGAGGATAGAAGCCTAACTTTGCTGGGCACCAGTTAGCAAACACAGATGGCCTATTCATAGAGGAAAATATTTGCAAATTCAGAGATAAGGTAATGTGCTTGACAAATTCCATTAAGCAACCTCCCTTCAACCATAATTCCTCTGGTGCTTTTATACTAGCTTACTCCAATGCTGAAGACCCTTCCTACAGTATAAATTGCTTCCTTATTTATCTCCATTCCCACAAGCTTATTGAAGCAGCAGCAGCAGCAGCAACAACAACAACAACAACACGCACACATACACACCCTAGGGATAAATAGTTTTAGACACATAAAATTCTCAAAGGTTTCATGTCTGTTATCCATTACCCAAATATGCATGCAAAACATACATCAAAACGTACATAGTTTACCTTTACATTTTGAGCCAATATTTACAATTTTGGAGTTTCTCTCTCTCTCTCTCTCTCTCTCTCTCTCTCTCTCAATCTCTCTCTTTCTCTTTCACACACACACACGACTTTTTAAAAGGAAAAACTAGCTGAATTGGGCCTGCACCCCATGTGACAGCAACAGGCTGGAGCTGAGTCAGCCTCACCCTCGTGAAGTGGACCTTGTTCTCTTTAGAGTGCACTCCTCTCATCTGCTCAGCAAAATCCATGCATGCATTTATATCTATAATGTAACTGCTTAATTCATTGCCTGCCTGAATTCGTCAGTATTTAAGTTTGGTCTAAATGTGTAAAGAGGAGAATTCTTTTCCTAGTTGTGCCTTAATTTTGTATCATTGCACAAAACAATGTTAATTTCTTTCATTTACCAAGTTTCCATTTTCGTTTGTTTAATTCAGTAGAAATTTCACTCATGGTGTCAAGCACTGTTTTAGGCACTGGGAATTGAGCCATATGAGCCCAATTAGACCCACTGGAAATCAGAAATGAGCTTGTTATGAACCACACAGATCATAGTAACAGCCATTGCTATTGCTTCACAAAGGACCTGTGAAGCTTGTAGGTTACTGCTGCTGAGGAACTTCTCAAGTCCTGAGAGGAGGCTCCAGCACCCACCTCCCCAATTCTGAGCTCAAAGATTTTGATGATTTGCAGATTTTTAAGGCTTTCCCCTCTAAGTTAGAGGTTCTATCTTGGAAACTAAAATCTACTTTCTAAGTTTGGAGTTTTGTACTTGCAAGTCATGTGTTAATATAGCTAGCCAAAGAGAAAGGCCCTAATAAGAAAATGACTTGAGAAGAGAAGCTTTGGCTGGTGTTTGTTGAGTGCCTGCTGTATGCTGGGCACAGTGATGGGTAAAACAGCATTACTGTCCTTTAGGAGTTCAGGATTAACATAAAATATGCCAAGGATGAAACTTTAATATAGTCATTGCTGCCCTGAAAAAGGAAAAAATTATTTATACAATATTGTGAAAGAATTGTTACCAGACTTGTTGGAAAAAATAATAGATGATGGAGAGCTGCAAGGACAAAATCAATGACATATGTTTTAGAAATATTCTTCACTCTTTGGGAATTATGAACACTCCAGGTACATGAAGCAATGTCACTGATTTCTAACGAATGCCAGCATTTATGCATTCACCTGCATACTGTCATCCCTTGTGAGGTTGAGATAAGCTTCTCTTCACTTTCTTTTGCTTCAAAAACTCTCCCCTGTACTTGACCTCAAAGCAGGGGAAGGCCCCTTTGTCATTAATCCTGGCAAACTTCTAGTCTTACACTAGTCACCTTGAATTATCTTTTCTTTCAGAGCTGGAGTGCTCTGAAAGAAATTTTCTTTATAGTGTTTTTTCAGAAGAAGGAGGAAAATGAGATTTATTTTATTAAAAAAGACTGATTTAAAAAATAAATTAGTTGAACAAATTTAATTCATTTCCTTTTATATTTATCATTCCTTCAGTATTTTAGTTTTAAAATACTAGCTTATGACAAAAAAAGTTTTAATAACATATTTAAACACAACTTGGAAAGCACTTTTAGAGACACAAATGATTTTATCATATAAAGAAAGTACCCTGTCCCTGTGCACCTTAGTTATCTATGGCCTGGGAGACATTTGGCAACAGTGAGTTCATTGATTTTGATCTCTACTTGAAGGAATGATATGTGGTCTGACTCACGGTAGACATTTGTCAGATGTTTATTGGATACCTCACTTCATGTTTAGTTCAATAAGTGAAACTAATGATCATTGTTTGAGATGATAATTTTCCTTCTCATATCATACTTTGCTTCAGGGTGCCACTCCTCTCCCATCCCATATGGTTCTGGGGGGCTGTCATTCATAGCACACTCAGAGCAGCACAGCAGGGTAATCCAGAGCACAGGTTCTGGGTACCTGCATGTTAATCCTAAAATTGCCTTTTATTAATTATGGAAATGATGCAGTATATCCCACTGTGTACCTAAGTTTCCTTATCTATGGATGGAAAAATACTAATACCTACTTCTTAAATGTGTTATGGTAATGAAATGATTTGATATAGTTAAGATGCTTAGAACAGTGACTGGTACATACTAAGTACTTAGTCACCTTAGCTACTATTACTATATTTCTGGTATAATTATGTTTTTCATGGCTACTGGTCATTTGGTCCAGGCCTAGCTGATCATAAATTGTATCCCCAATGGCTGGAATTTGTCCAGGGAGGTTATGTGACCCTAGCAGAGCCATTTAGAATTTTCCAGGTACTTAAAATTGGGGGAATAGATTCTGTGCTCCCTGAAGTTACAGAGCCTGGAGCATGTAAGTTGAAGCTGCTTTGTGGTTCTCTTCCTCAGCAACACGGGAGACAAATTTTATCTGCAGTGGAAGAGAATGAAGCCATCACAAAAAAGCCAGTCTTTGAGGGGGAGATGATGTGTTTGAGGAAAGGTAACAGGTTGTTTAACTGACCTTTTGGTTGGAGGCTCCTTTTTAAAAAAATTTTTTTTTCTTAGTTGTAGTTGGACACAATACCTTTATTTTATTTATTTATTTTTATGTGGTGCTGAGGATTATAACCCGGCATCTTGCACAACCCCAGCCCCTGGGGGCTCCTTTTTTTCCCTCTTCTACTTAGTCTAGCTTATGTTGGGTTCCCATTACTGCAACTAAAAGAAATGGGTACAACTCTGGCAAGGGTTTCATTCTTATTTGGCTTTCAGTTGGTGTTAAAAAGAATATTTATGGGGTTCAGGTTGTGGCTCAGTGGTAGAACGCCTGCCTAACATATATGAGGCACTGGGTTCAATCTTTAGCACCACATAAAATAAATAAATAAATAAATAAAGTTTAAAAAACCAGTATAGATTTAAAAAAAAAAGAAGAATAATATTTCCAGTTGGGCTTTATGGATCGCCTTGTTCAGGAATAAAACTAAAGTTTAAAAGAGAAAGTCGTGAAGGTTTCTCATGGCTTTTCACATACTCATATTCTATAACCTAAACAAAGTTGTTGTTTTGAACATGTTTGTGACTGGCCACAAAGCAGTCCTTATCACTTCAGAGACTGATTAAATCTGCTTTCTGTTTTTCTGGTGGTTGGGACCTAATAAACAAATAAACTTCTCTAATGAATTTTTTAAGTGAGTTTTGCCATACTAAGTTTTCCCAAAATATAACATATAGACAGAAAAATGGACAAAGTACTATGAGCATTCATGTAC